GGTCCAAATTTTGTTGGGCTCATTTTTGTATGAATTTACTATAACATTATGGGTCAGTTTCCATCACCACATATTGAAACTTGGAATTTTCTGCTCTACAAACGGTCAATTTTAGTGAAAATTTTGATTAGGCTAGAATCCAAAAATTAGGCCGAAAATCTCCAAATTAGCTAGAGTTGATATTTTTATGGTAAATTACTATTATGATGTAATTTTCGTTGTATGAACTTCGATTTTCATGACATGAGAGGGGGTTCAAAAATTGCCACAGTCGGTCTAAACTTTTTACACCCATTTAGAACGCCGAAGTAGTAGAGTAGTCAATTATGCTGAGAAATTTTGATAATTAAAATTTTTTTTGATATAATGACTTTTTAGAAAAGAGCATTATAAGAGGGAGTGATCGAAAATGTAGACCGATCGGCACGATTTTCAATAGCGTTGGTCCTTCGGTCAAAATATGTGACAAATGTGTACAAATTTCACCAAAATATCGCAAAAATTGCGGCCAAATTAACATGAACAGACATCAGATGGACAGGCGGACAGATTGACTTAGCTCAACACAGATTATGATTCTGAACTGATGGGTATAGCAAGAGATGATTCTATCTTAAATCCTTTTGCGTCCATACTCTCTTAATATACCCAAGTGGTGTAGGGTATAAAACCGTTCAGGTACATCCGATGCTGTTGAGAATCTCGAATTTTTCTTTTTGTTTTATACGGATCATCTGGAAATGGATTTTATACAAGCGTGCCTTGCATAAAGCGATTAATTCGCACAGCGCGATATCAAAAACCCCCGATGTACAATATGTACCATACCAATAAGTACCCTATTGAAACCAAGCTCGAAGGTGTAAAATTTTATAATAGAAATTTTCTTTCAAATACACATATAAATGGAAAAGTAGGTAAATTTCAAGTTTTTATAAAAAGGGGGGATATACGATAATTAAATTTATATCTTCCAAAAATAATTATGACGATCATAAAATGCATTTTCATTAAAAAACAATTAGAGCTAATCTAATTTCTTTTTCCATAGCGGGTTGAGACTCCTCTTATTAACGGTAAAATAAAAATAAGAAGAAAATACAACTGAACACGTGTTATCGAAACTGTGTTTGACAATGGCCGCGTTATACTAGCGATGCCTGTATTCATTTTACTAAAACATTTACATACTCAAAAGCAAGTTTCATGGACTCTTTACAGTACATTTGTTCCTGATTAGCATCAAATTCTCAATCGCTTTAAGCATGTTCGTTCGTCTGTTCGTCTGTCTGTTTATTTAACGTCCGACAAACTTATCTGCTTCAAATTTGTGCAAAAACATTGGAGATCGTTGCGCGCACGTTAATATTGAAAATGAGCGAAATCGGTAAAAGGAGAAGCTCACAATGCGAAAAAAATTGAAAGCATTTTGGCTTCTGATTTTCTTACTCCATCTGGTTTCTCTCCCCTACATGCAATAAATAAAAGTAAAAATTTCCAACTTCCAATTCTACAAAAATGGCAGTCACGCGCCCCTAATATTACAGAGTATGGAGATTAAGTCGTTTTGAATTTTTTGCTTTCGTCTGTATGGCGGATGGATGGCGGATGTGATGAGGTATAAAAAATTCGTTCGCAGCCGCACACATATGATTTTCTTTTTTCTTATGGTTGAATACTTTGTTGAAATGTTATTATTTTTATTTTATTATTAAACCGAACAATGAGTGTATTAACTTTAATAATAGCAAAGTAATTAATGTTCAACGATCAATAATTTTATTTCGCCCCTGGTGCTGAGTTCCAATCGTACAAGTGGTTGGTTCCAATAAATTTCCCACCTTTCTTTTTAATACGTTTTTCAAAACGGAAATTTAGGTTTTTCTATGTTGTATCCATCACCGAAGGATGAATTTTAAATCGCTATAAGCATGTCCGTCTGTCCGCCTGTGTAATGGCTATTGCAAACATTGGCCACAAAAATAAAGTTGTCGACTTTAAATTCGTCAGAAATTGAAAATCGCTGAAATCGATCGAAGGGCACGCCTAGAGCACTACGTGTCCTGAAGACACCTTTGGTTTTCAAAAGGTATAAAAAATTGATTTATTGCTACAATCCACAAAAAATTTAACGAATTCATCGGTGATGCCGCGGCCTTTGTACAAAAATGTGAAAAATTTACCACGCCTACCCCCTATTACGGCATACGAAAATTGCATTTTCTTTTTAATACGTTTATAACGGGCAGAAAAACGCTTGAAAAACGCCATATGGAAAATCTTGATCAGTTTCAAAATGCATCTAAATGCATCTAAACATGTTCGTTTGTCCCTCTGCCCAACTGTCTTTCCATATTTGCAAAGGAATTTGGAAATGGCTTAAATTTTCAAAGGGCGCGCCTGCAACACTCACACGCCTATACGACAAAGACTTTTGACTCAGCCCGTGAGTTGTTTTACTTTTTTGTCTTTTTGTACCCACCACGGTAAGGTGGAGGTATACTCATTTCGTTTTCTTCCATTGTGCATGTAACACCCAAAACGAAGCTTCAGAGACGCTGTAAAGAATATAATTTTGATCAGCGTGAAATTCCGAGTTGATTTGGCCATGTCTGTCCGTCTGTGTTTCCGTGTGTGGTCTCTTCTTGGCACTCTCCTCGTCCCAAAAATGAAGAAATCGATTTCAAACCTGGTAAAAACATTGGAAGTGTCTGCACGCAGGTTGATATCGAAAATGGGATAAATTGGTCAGAGCAGAAGCCCGCAGTGGAACGTAAACTATACGCAAATCAGTTTTTTTTTTTTTTTTTTAAACTTTGGATTTTTGCTTGTCACTCGGAAATTATTAAAGTTAAAAGTTTGGTATTGTCCACGTTTACTTCACGAAGCACTCCACTCTTACGTGCAAAGATGAAAAACATCCGCCATGCCCACACAAAGTTACGTTTAATTACATTTAATTTTTTTTACTTTCTTGGGATCTTATGCTCATTTATCATAATGCAAACAACACCGAATGTTTAAAACTATATTATATACTTCTCAAATGAAGATAGATTATCTGCCTAAAAATGGGTTAATTTTAATAATTAATTTTTTCTTAATAATACCAACGATATGGGTATCAAATGAAAGAACTTAGAGAGTAGAATGCGAAAAGCACAATGGTGGCTATGCAAGATTCGGCCTCCGCCGAATATAACTTTCTTACCTGTTTTGGACATGGTTGGTGGTCAGTGACGATCGAGTATAATTTTCTTACTTGTTCATTTTTAATCGCTTTTACTTGGAGTACCTTCTGTCTATCTAATTTGATATTTCCGACTACATCATAAACTTTCGGGCTGCCTATAAAATGGCAACATTGTGTTCAAAAATTAACGAGAATTCTTATTTAACGCTTTTTTAAAGATTTTTTATAATTGTTGGCAGTTGCGGTTGGAAAACTGTCTTTAAAGGCTGCCTACAAAGGAAACGAAATCAATCACCCGGAATTATATTTGGGAAATACTATGCTTATTAGTTCGATTTTAATAAAACTCTAAAGGAGATGAGCGAACGTTGACGTTACGCAAAAGCTAGGATTTGTTTGACCACAAAATCCGAACAGTTTTAACGACAAACTCACATCAGGATTTATACCTTGTTTAGTGTTAACTGTTTGATCTTGTCAAGGGAACTGCTTGTGAACAACAACGCGATAAACGAAGAAATCCGTCACTTGAGTTTTGTTGTTGATTTGCTTTAACGAGATTTTTTCGATTCGGGAAATGTCGATGCAACACTAGTTGTGGACTGATTGATTGATTGATATAGGTTTCTAATATAATATATATAATATTTTTGTTGTTATTTACTGTTATTTTTTAAAATAATTTTTAAGTTATCATTTACTTATTAAAGTCGATGAAAAAATAATAAAAATATTGACAAACAAGAAAATGATCTTCGATTAACAATCCAATGATCGTTGGTTCAAATCTGGTTTCACTACAGTTGATGGCCTTAGATGTTATTGCTTTATCACTTAAGTTTTAAGATTTATTTCTCTGGTTAAAATATTAATGATAATAATAACAAGTAAGAAAATTATATTCGGTCGTGATCGAATCTTCTATACCCATCCTTATCGTTATCCTAAAAAAGACAAAAAAAAAAAAGTAAAGCGAATACATTTTCGTGTTCTATATTATGTAGAGTGGGTGCGGCCAGATGGGCATGCCTAAATCGATTCGAAATTTAATGCTGATCAAGAATATAAACACTTTGTGGGATCTCTGAAGTTTGTTTTTTGGGGGCGTTGTCCCCTCATCCTTCGATGATGGGTGTAAAAATAAAGTTAAGCGATATGTTTTCGAACATAAATTATAACTTATTTGATTCATTTCAAGCCTTTTTTGCAATTAATTTACATAGATATTTAAATGTTTCGCTAAAGTCTTAATCTATTAAGTAATTTAATATTATGGCTTATAAGGCACTAACTAATCTAAGATATAGTGTGAACATGAATTTTACAGCTACTATCACAACGCTTTCGAAAAGCATTCTATATTAAATTAAGTTAGTTTTTAACTAAAAATCTTTTTTGATTCACCAAATAAACCAATAAAATTACTTGAGTCCCCAAGAAGGGCTTCTTTATTGGCCAAATCTTCGGTATAGTTCTTCTTAATATTTTCATCATCATCGTCCTCGTCGTCTTGCATAGCGCTTATCTCTAAATGCTGAGGATAATGAATGAAACAACATTTCTTCACTGGTTTCCAAAGCAACGTTGTCATGGTCACGGTTATCAGGAACATGCCCAATAGTTGGGAATAGAAAGTAAAATTTTGTATGAAATGTAAAATGAATGCTGTTTTCACGGACATATGCATATAAGCGTCGAACCATAAAATCGGGAATAACAATTCACGTTTATTTGGAAAGCAACTGTGAAATGAAAGTGAAAATCTTCAAGTCACGTAATTGATTGTCAATTTGCTGATTAAACTCACTTTAAATGAGAGCTGGGCTCCAGGTAGATGTTCAACTGAAATCGACCTCTGAACTCCATAATGAGACCCGTTCGTGGTTCAAGTATGATAAATGGTTCATGCAATTCGCGCTTTGCTTGCAAGCCTTCCACTTGATTTACAAAATAATCGTCCGCGTCAAGAAAGTGCGGTAACGAAATAAAGAATGGCATATCCCATGAACATGAGGTTACGTTAACGACACCGGCCGGCAAGCATTTACCATTGCAAAAGCATTTATTTTCGCTATAAATCGTACCGTTGTCTAATATCATATTTCCCATTTTATAGCGATAACCGAGCACTCCATCCACGATCACTTCATTGTCATATTCCAACCAAAATCTCCGACAAAAATCCGCTACGTAATATTCAATGGGTTTATACTTTTCTAAATTGACGCGTTGCAGTTCACCGGAAGATCCCCGCACCTGAGAACACCCGGACGGTACATGTTTAGTATGGTTTTTACCATTCACAAATTTCAATTGTCCATAGCTATTGACGCCATCTGCACCAGTACTGATTCGGTATGTGGGAGATAATACCGAAGTGCCATTACGCTGCAAAAATACGAAGAAAAATATATTTCAATAAAATTCTACAGATATGACTTCACCCTATAGTGTATTACAGCTGCCGGGTATAATAATACAGTTATCAATATTGTACTCGAATAATGAATTAATTATCCCCAAACTAAATATGCAAATGCACGAATTCTACAGAAATATATTCCAATGATTACAAACTACTCCTTAAATGAATTCTTCCGTGAACCGTAAACAGCACTGCCCTAACTTGTCGAATAGAATCGTGGCGACATTTTGATTAATTGATTGAGCCAGTCGCAGGCATTCACTGCGACATCTCTTTATTACGTGAATGGTTGTTGTACGATGCTTTAGCAGAATTATAGAAAATACTTCCAGTTGTGATACACTTAGGAGAAATTTGTCTAGAATCGTCATGTATTATATCATAAAGTCCAAATATATAATATGGATTTATCTCGGACATAGGTGTTACAACATTATCGCACACACTGAGCATCAAAAATTTCCCATTAATATAAGACTTCAATCCGTACCTTTTAATAAAAGGTACTTGACAAGTTGTCTTTTTAAATTCCATTTTCCAAATTTAAAGCGAATAAAAAACTTTATCGAAAACTAGAAAGGACTGAATAACTCTTTTGACTCTGTTTACGGTCAGCCTTAAAGTGTGGAATAGTTGTGCCGATCACCAAAGGCTGCCAATTACTACAAAAAGCTCCAGAGGCGGCATAAAGCGGACATATTCTTGATCAGCATCAAACTCTAAATCGATTTAAACATGTCCGTCTGTTTGTTGTAGACATTCTCCTGACCTAATTGCAAGCTCTTGAACGCAGATTGGTATTGGAAATAAGCCAAATCGCTTGAAAGAGACGCCCACAGCACCACATTAAGTGAGACACCTCTGCTTTTCAAAAGAAATAAAAAATTTGTTCTTTGCCCATTACCCATCAACTAGAGTAGAGATAAATCTACAAAGAATTGTATATATATTATGTGGGCGATGTGTACCAAAATTTAGTTTTTCTTTCAATACCTTTATAAGGTGCGGAAACAAGCTTCAATAACTCCATAACATATATATAAAACCTTAGCCAGTTTCAAATTTGGAATGAGCATAATCATGTCCATCTGTCCGTCTGCCCTACTATATAGTTACTGTTCTAAATATTCTCGCACACACACACAAACACATTCCCCTGAAAATAGCCCAAACTTGTCAAACAACACCCACATGCCTATATAACAAAAACTGAGAACACCTTGGCTTTCCGCGTGTGTTGTTCGTTGCTCGTAAACTACTTAACAGATACATGACATAAATTCCAACAAAATTATTCTACAAGAATATCAAAAATCAGCCACGCCCATCCAATATTATGGGATATGCAAATTTATATTTTTCCTTCTTTTCAATCATTTATAAGACAACGACAAGATTCGATCACATGACAATACAATTTTCTTACTTGCTATTATTATTAAAGCAGAAAAAAAAAAAAATAAATAAATAAATAAATCTTTGGTTAAAAATTGAAACTTACCCCATATAAGTACCCAATTTTGTCCATAGGTACAGATATACCCAATAAACCAGAAGGAAGCTTTCTCAGCAGGGTAACTATGTTGTTATGAAAGCCTTTAAATAAAAATTCATCGACTGTCTTTTTCCAATCTACCGGACTTTGATACTTTCCCATAGAGAGACTTACAACCCATCTTGGCCAATATTTAGTTTTGGATGCGACTGTCTTTCGTTTTTTTAAAAAAGGATATTTAATCTTATTTGTGAGACAACGAGTATATGTCATTTTGTATTTACCACCAATAAAGCATTAATCGATGTAATCCTGTCCTGTAGCGATCCTCTTGTTCGAGTTTCATTGAAGTAAAACGTATGCAACTTATGGTATTCGAGAGTATTGTCATCGGAATGCCATTTTAGTATACTTTTATATGGCACTTCGTCATACCCGTAGGGGCCGACTTGTTGAAATTGTGGTTTTATTCTTGAATCGAGAAACTCGTGAGAATTCGTCCAATTGAACAGGTAAACATCCAAAGATATATTAACATCTGGTTTAATCCAAGCCCTGGTAACTGAATTGTTTGCTTTTAATTGCAATTCCTACGGAGTTGAGTCATACGTGAAATTGTGTCATTTCGGGGAAATCAAAAAAAAAAAATCAAAAACACTTACATTTTCTAAATATTTATCGAATAATGTCGAAGAAAATATGGTTAGGATAGTGCCAACTCCAGCCAAGCTAATGCTTAAAAGAATATTCAGATATTTCAGAAATGTTTTCAAATTTCTTAATAACGAAGATGGGTTCTCTTCGGCCATTATTTCTGAAAAGGAAAAGTTTCAAGTAAAAGCAATATAATCCCAACAAATATTTCATTATTAAGTTAATAAGAGTTTATACTTCTTCAGCTTGAAGAAAGTTTGTCAGAACTGTTATCAAAGTCATTGCTCTTAAACAAAAAAAAACAAAAAAAAAAAAGAAAAAAAAAAAAACAAGAAGAAAAATGGAATGAAAAAACAAGTAAATAAAAATAAAATCATTTCCAAAAAGTACTTATTTTAACTTTTAACGCACACGAAATCCCAACACCCACACCTTATCAGCCTTATAAGCAATCATTGCTTGCAATCATTTTTACAAAATTTACTAACGTTGAACACATGCAAGTTAACTGCATTATTGTCGCCGAGACAAGCTCAGCTCAGCTCAACTCAGCTCAGCTCAGCTCAACTCAGCTCAGCTCAGTTCAACTCAGCTCAGCTCAACTCAGCTCAGCTCGGCTCGGCTCGGCTCGGCTACTGCAATAATATCTCAAACATTACATATAACCGATGGATCAGTAAGGTGATGACAATAATTTCAAAATTTATATTAAAAAAACCTCATTCTTGATGGCTTGAAAACCTTGAGGGTCGTTAAGAACAAAGTCAAGTTCAATAGTGAAAATGATCTTGATGAAGATAATGGTGTCTATCACATCGGGGAAACTCGGTGAACTGAAACTGTAAGAAGTCTCTGGTGAAGTACACTTCTAAGAGCATGGGAGGAACAAGTTTATCGGGTTGGCAAAGTGTGCTCAAAACTCCTAACATTCTTACTCACAGATTTAAAGACCAAAGCTATTGAGCTTTCACAGCCTATTTACGACACTGTTTTTTCTTTTCGAGACTGTTCATTCTTTACTCATCCAACTCGCCTTTGGACTAACTTATTTGTAAAGGCCTTCGCTAACCTATTCCCTCTTTCCAATTTTTTCTAACTGTAATCACTTCTGACCATTGTCATGATTACTTTTACCCTACACGTAGTATTTATTAAAAATAAAAAAACACCATTGCTATTATGGACGCATATGGTTTGGCAGAACATGATTAACTCTTCATGTGGAGTTGATGATGCTCCCATAAATCTCTGTCTCGAGTTTCAGATATATATCTTCCAAGAAATTTAAGCTCAGCTCGGGCCGTTCCATTAACAGCTGGGCCTGTCTACATATATATATATATCACAACTTTTAACTTTCTATCTCAATGTTTGCAAGCTTGAGTGCTCGCATATTAGGGATAGAAGCGGTTAAGATGCCTAAGATTATTATTTAGTGGCACCTAACGCCACAACGATAAACGTATTACGTCGCGATACGTATTGCCAACAACACTACAATACAACATAGGCTTGCAATCTTAGTCTTATTAACCTCTTTTATAGAGATGGTACAAAATAGAGAAGCATTCATCAAAAAGTTCTTATATATATATATATATATATCCCCTATAAATGCACATATATGCTAAATTAATCTATGATATTATTTATTAGAACAACTCTTAAGGGCCATGCAGATTATATAATATCTTGAATAGAATAAAATCGAAGACAATTTTGCTTTAGCCGAAATTTCGTGAATCCATTGTCAAGTCATGGCTATAGATCAAAATTTAAAACCAAGCATTTTTTTACCTGCGAGTCAGTCTTTTAGTCTAGTGACTTAATTTACAACCAATAAATTATACGTACAATGTCCACAACACTTTAAAGCTTAGTCTTAAAAATATCAAATAAATAATGAAAAGTTTATAGTCAAGCAAGGACTGCTTTCAAATACCCAACAACACTACGCCTCTTAAAATTCTCCATCGGTCATCGTCTTACACTGCTCTCACAGTGAAGGCTTTCCTCCCATGGGAACTCTTATAACAGAGAAACAGATCTATATAGTGCACACTGTATATAGTAAATGTATTCATTATAAAATACTCGACATGGTACAATTTTTAGATCGTTTACATGGGAAAATGATATTATTTCACGCAACTTTTCCATTTTCCAAATAATATCGATTTTGATCGATATATATTAAAAGCGGAACATTTTTTTCGAATTAGGATTCTAAATGGGGAGGGGTCATAACAATGATCTGATCCAATCTATTTTCAGTCAGTGTAACGAAATTCCTGAAAATATCTTAAAATAAAAATGGACAGACGGACAGACAAGCTCAAACTGACTTAGAACGTGATACCCAATCGATTGACATAATAAAAGGAAAGTGCATTTCCCAAATCCGCGCAATCTTAACATACCCTCACCCCAACTATTATAGGATATCGTAATCTTCATTACGCAACTGTCACGTTTACCCTTTAGAAAATACGTTACAGCGTCAAGGATGAAGCTCAATCCGTTTTATGTCATCAAATAATTTGTGCAACAAATAAACAACAAGGTATGAATTCCATAGGGATCGTAATGGATGTGTATTACTATGAACACAACAATAATCTAAGACGTATTGTAACCACGTCCGTCCATCTGTCTGGTTACTGTTGAAACTATCAAAATTGTAAAATGAATATAATTTTTTTTTTTTTTTTTTTAATTTATAAATCACATTTAAATGATAATAAGATTAATAAGCATTAGCCGAAGTAAAAATTTAGAAAAAAACTACGTTTGTCGTAATGTCTTTGAAAGCAAATTTAGTGTTTGTGTGATGCAAAGCAAAGTATGTAAATAAACTGCAGCACTTTACTGTGTTCGAACTTATTCCCGTTAGTGTATAAATTATAAAAAATATTCATTTTATTTTCTTTTTTAAACTTTCTTCACTTACAAAATATTTATTTATTTATTTATTTATTTTTAACATTAATGATTTTATTTTCGAATGTGATCATGTTTTACACACAACTAAGGCAAATAAAGTGAAAGAAAAAAAAAAAAATAAAAAAATTAATAACACTTACAGTAATTTTAAATTATATCATTAAAATAAATTCGAAAATTTGTTTTTTTTTTTTTTTTTTTTAATTCATTAAATGTCTAATCAATAGTTGATGCACTTGCAAATTTTGAAATTTTTCTTTTTATTTATTTATTTTTTTTAATTTTTTTATAATTATTATTCCTTTAAAGTCTGGTTCTTAATATAATCGTGTCTTTTCATCGACTAAAGCGTTTACATTAAATAATTTGCGTTTTTATAACCGTGCTTATGCATTCCCGATTGTTTTCCTCAAGACTGTGCTTTTAGTTTATTCATTAATTTCATTTTGTTTTTATTTTTTTTGCTTTTGTTTTTGTTTTTGTTTTTTTTTTTTGTTGGTTTTGCCTCTTGTTAGTCGTGACTTAAACTGTTTTAAACTGATATCAGTTGTATGCTTTTTCAATTCAAAATTATCTGCTGACTTTTTAGCTTTCTTTCGTGCGTTTGTTTCGAAAAGCGAGAAACGTCCGTCTGTATCTAAATTATGTCTGAATTTCGACAGTCGAAACTTTCTTGTTTCTTTTTTTCTTTTTGTCTTTTTGCTTTTCATCATAATTTCATTATCGCTGAGAATTGCAATGATCTTCCTCTTAATGGTAATAATATTATTCTTATTCTTATTTTGTTTATTTATTTATTTTTTGTTATTTTTGTAAAACTGATATCAATTGAAATAATTAATATAAAATTAGCAAGAAAACCGTTTATAATATCCTCAGATTTACATATTTTTAAATGCACTTCCGCTTTTCTTTACGCTGCCAAGTTAAAGATGTTAATTTTAATGTTAATGTCAATGCAGTTAACATTATGAACAAAGTTAACAGTTCAACATTGCCGTTCCAAGGGAAAGATTTCTTTTTTGAAAAAGTTTCTGTGAACGGTGATCTTAAGATGCAAGATGCACTGGATCCGTGCTTTTTGCGAGATACCCTTTGTAAATGTATTCCCAGAAGACATGTTTTTCTGCGTAGTTTGCGGGTCTTAGCAGTCCTTATAAATATTCCTTTGAAATATCAAAATCAAATCACAACTATTACAACAAAAATACATATTGTTTTCTTTTTATCCTGTTGAGGTATGCGCAACCTAAGAGTTTCGAGAGTTTCGAGAGCTTCGAATATGCCGAATTCTTGGTAATATCATTGTACATTTTTTCTATCGCCTTACGTGATCTCTTCAATTTGGAATCAAATAATTTAAAAAAATTTAAATGTTTTTTTTTCTTCAAACACAATTTTTGGTCTATAGAATACGTTGATGCTTTTTAAGAAGGATTCGTTTTTTTGAACGAAAAAATACACCACGTAGGGCTTGAAAATCTCTTTATACCTCCGTGCGAAAGCCTAGGTTTAAACCGATCTACACAGAAAAGGTTCCATAACGATGTCGTATATCACTCGCGATGCAAAATATATTAAGTTCGTTTATCCATTACATTTCACATTAAATCTTTTTATAGCTTACAGCATTTGTGGCACAGCGTATGCTAAAATTGTGCAAAGCGCTTAATATAGACCTATCCTTTTCTAAATCGATTTAAGCCTGTCTGTCCGTCCGTCCGTCCCTCTGACCGTGTGATGTGTGTTCATGTAATTTTGGTCGCAAATTTTTGAAATATATCGATGAAATTGCGTACACCGCCGTATATTTATCCAAGGATGAATGGTTCGCATTGGGCCACTTCTTCGACTACTCCACATATAAAGCCTTACTTTGAAATGCGTCATTATTTACATAGATGTGTGAAAGGAAGTGGTGTAGGGTACTTAATGGCAATATACAAATTATGTATGCTATATTTAGATCATAGAGGTCTTTTTTTCCGACCATGCTTCCGTGCAAGTACTCATAAAGTATTCAAAAAGTGCAACTTTATATAAAAGCGGCGTCTAATTTTTAGCGAAATGATAGCGTAAGATAAGGCAGATCGTAGTGGGCCTTGCCCGATTGTAACGTTTTAAATAGTTTTGCTTCTCATCTAGTTACAATCGCTTCCCTATCAACAGATCAAGCATTATGCGTATTGGGAAAAATCAAACAAATATTTTGGATTACTTTTATTTTTTGTTTATCCCGATTTATTTATTTATTATTATTATTATTTTTTTTTTCTTTAATATTTCAATAATTTATATATTCTTGAAAGAATTGTTTGCTTTTTAAACTTTATTTGTTTTTCAAAAATTTATTTTCTATAGTTTCTTCTGGTTTTTTTTTTTTTGTTTTGTTTGTTTGTTTTCTCTTCTAAAGGAAAAAGGCGATCATGTGTTTTAATGATAAGAGATTCATATTAAATACTGATTGATCTCAATTGATCAACGACGTGCGCTGGTATTTAATAAACAATTACGCTTTGATTTGAACGTCAAAAGTGTTTAATTAGTTAGGTTCAGCATTTTTGACGTTCAAATGATCAAATATTCTAATTACGTATGAAAATTAATTGATGGATCAAGTCTCAAAAACACATATATATATATATCTTTGTGTGGATGTGGGTATGCATGGATGTATATACGTATGCAAAATTTTAGATGAATGCTTTACATGCGAAAATGTGTACAAAATCCTTTATAAAAACTTAAAAACTTAAAAACCTAAATATTTCAATATTTCAATATTTCTAAAAGTAAAAAAAGACATTTATTACGTTTTGTTTTCTTTATGCTCTACGGTTGTCTTCTTGTTTCTTTCTTTCTTTGCTTGAGGACGGCTTTTAATCCGTAAATATTCGAATTATTTATGACTAACATCATTGGCGTCTGTGTCACGTTTAGGCGATTTTGGTGTAATTGCGGGCTTTAATTGCGAATTTTTCTCCAACAAGGGTGAACTGTCTGGTGTTTTTTTCTCTGTCTCCAAAATTTTTAATTCACTTTGCTTGCTATTGATGGCTTTGCCGTTTTCTGCTGGGTACACTTTAATTTCTTGAATTTTATGCGTGGACCAAACATATTTAATCGGGTACCAGCACAAGAGAATCAGACCGATTAAGAATAAAAAGCCGGCAATTATTTGACCGCCTAAAAGTACATAAGGCAGAGTTTTCAAATTTTTCGCCAAATCTGGCGTAATGCGCACTTTTTGTTCGAACCAGATCATAGGAAAGAATATGCGAGGTATATTCTCGTAAAGGCTGAATAAATGGAAAATATTTACTATGAATAAAAATGTGTCACAACTTAAAAGGACATCTATTAATACCTAATACCACGAATTGGTTCGACTAGCATATTCACTTGAAAGCGGGCTGCCACTTCTAAGGATATACCTGTCTTCGGCTCCAAAACCATATAGAACTCATGTTTGTCAGCTTGAGGTTGTAAGCCTTCTACTTGATTTAAATAGAAATCATCCGCTTGATAGAAATGAGGATAAGACATAAATACTGGCGAACCAAAACGACAAGAAGATATATTCATAACACCGGATAGCACGCAATTACCGCCACAAAAACATTTGTTCTCCGGATACAAAGAGCCTTAAGAGAAAAAAAAAGTAATAAGAAATCATTTTTACATATTTGGAAGGAATATACCATTATCTACGGATCGTTGACCCCCGGCATATTTATAACCTTTGATTCCTTCAACAATTTGAGTCTCTTTATAATCCAAAGGTATTGTACGACACATATCGGGGGTAAAAAGTTTCACTATGCTCTTCGGTGTCAGGTTCGGTGGTTGAAATTCCCCTGCAGAACCATTTGCAAAGCCGCAATAAGATTCGAAAAATCCCAAATGTCTTTTATAATTCCAAGAGAACATTTGACCCAATTTCTTGATATCTTGCTGACCGGTATAAACATTAAAAACTCCTGTCAGATCGGCACTACCATTACGCTGATATTTAGAAACAAAAAAAATTAAGCAAAAAATTTACAAAATTCTTTTTCATCTATAAAACTAAATTTTTAATTACCGTATAAAACCAGCCAAACCTATCGAAAGGCACTTCCACGTCTTTGCCGAAAAGGGGCATAGCTCGAGCCATATCAAGCATATCATCGCTATAACCGGTAAATAAAAGTTCATCCACCGTCCTCTTCACAGACATTTTCTGCTGATATAAATTTAAGCCGACATCAACCATTTTTCGACGTACAGGATCCCATTGTTTACCTTTACCAGCGGCTGACTTTAAACCGTAATAATTTAATAATGAAAACATGAAATCAAATGACTTACCAAAGCCACGGGATTTACAGTTATAATCTCATCGCTTAAACTTCCGTTACTGCCGTTAACGTCAAAATAGAAAAAACTTTTCCTGCGATATGTTAAGGAACTATTCTCGGGGTGCCATCTAATATCCACTTTATCTGGTTTTTCAACAAAACGATACGGTCCGCATTGTTCGAGTATTGGTTTAGTAGTAAGATTTCTAAAATCTGCCGGATTAGTCCAATTGAATAAATATATATCCAAATTTAACGACAACGGTGGGTTTTTCCATTTTTGAAAGACCTGAGAATTTGGTCGTAAAACCATTTCCTAAAAAAAGAAAACAAAAAAAAGGAAAAACTTTTACTTAGTAAATCCATCGGAAAGAACAACATAGCGTAATCCTGACCTCACGAACATTTACATAGCACTCTATAAAGTTTTCATGTCTATTCAGTTCGATAAAGCTGAAAGCCAAACCTTTAGTTATTATTACTTGGATCTTGTAAAGGGATTTTTTGATTGCATGCCGCAAAGGGCAACACGATTACGGACTAAGAATTTACGTTTCGAAGAGTACTGTTCAGGACATGTTTGAAGGTTTAACAAGCTCTTCTTTTCATTGATAGCCATTCTCCTTTCCCGTCCTTCTCACTACCGAAATTACGATTTTCAAAAATATGGAAACTTTGTCCCATATATCTTTTGATTAACGAAAGGGTAGTAAGGGTATATTTTGGCATTGTAGCTGCTCACTAGCCGTAAGAGAAAGTTCTGTAGGTAAAGTTGTTTCGACTTTGTATCAATTTCGATATTCCGCAGGTCTGCTCGTCATAAAACAATATTTTGTTATAAAGCAAGCTTATTAGGTCACGCAAAGTACAAACCATAAATTGTCTTGTGACTTCTCGTGTCTCTCAGATTTTCCTCAGAACACGGTTAATAGTGACTCGCCGGGAATTTTCTTCAGGAATTTTTTACATAATTCTAATGAGCTTTCTTTATAGTTTATTTACAAAAATATGGGGGCAAGTCAAGACCCATGTTTCAATTTGATGTAATACAAGTGTTTTTTTTATTAATTCTATCTGAGTATACTTTCTAAAGTCAGTGGTAAAAAGAGATAACAAGCGCATGCCGTAACTCTTCAAAATCAATCCTTTACCATTTTTTGATTGATTGAAATTCTTTGTCTCATTAAAGCTAGAAGCTGAGAGAATATAAGCGTATAATCTAATCGCGCTTTAGAGAAAATAGCGTATATGTTCTCAGTAATTTGTATAAAAATTCCAAACAAGTGAGAATAAGCGTCCACACATGTGTTTACGCATATGTTCTCAATAATTTGTATAAAAATGCCAACCATCTGAGAATAAGCGTATACGTTTGTTTACATTTGAACGGTAGTGCTTTTAAGCAAAAATTATTTTTGAACATCTTTTCAACGAAAATCCCAAAACTATGCTTTACAAAATATATGCAATTTTTGCCTTATCTCTTTTGGCTGATATTTCTATGAGTCATCAATTAAATCAATTGTTAAATAATTAATATATTAGTTTGGGGAAAAAGAAATCCATTATTTTTTCGGTAGATGGCTGCACTGATAGATTTCTCGTAAAGTATCGATCAAACAATTTCAGATTTATGCTCGTTGGAAAGGTGACATTTCGCAGTAAAAAAAATTCTTTTGCTGTTTTTTGTTTGGTGCATTCAGTTGTGAGTTACAGCGTATTAAAAATGGAAGTGCACAAAGAGAAAATTCGGTACAGTTTACAGTTTTTCTTTGACAAAGGCTAAAATGCAAGCCAGGCGGCTAAAGTTGTGAATGCTGTTTATGGTTTCGATACTGTAACAGCCAATTATGTGCAATTTTGGTTTCGTAGATTCCGTTGGGGAATTTTTGATGTTAAAGATGCACCTCGCACAGGTAGGCCGGTCGTCGAAAATGTCGATAAAATCGGGGAAATGATCGAAGTTGACCGGCATGTTAGCAGTCGTAACATCGCCCAGGAGCTAAAAATCGACCATATAACAGTTTTAAACCATTTATACAAAGCTGGATTCAAAAAGAAGTTCGATGTTTGGGTGCCACACCAATTAACAGAAAAAAACATGATGGATCGAATTTCCATCTGCGAAGCCTTGGCGAAACGGAATGAGATAGACCCATTTCTTAAACGGATGGTGACTGGAGATGAGAAATGGATCACATACGATAATCCTGTGCGAAAACGATCGTGGTCAAAGAGCGGTGAAGCACCTTAAACGGTGGTCAAACCAGGACTAACGGCCAGGAAAGTTTTGCTATGCATTTGATGGGACTGGAACGGGATTATTTATTATGAGTTGCTTCCATATGGCCAAACGCTAAATTCTGATCTCTACTGTCAACAACTGGACCGTTTGAAGATAGCGATTGACCAGAAACGGCCAGAATTGGCCAACAGGAGAGGTGTCGTGTTCCACCAGGACAACGCTAGGCCACACACATCTACAGTGACTCGCCAGAAACTTCGGGAGCTTGGTTGGGAAGTTTTAATGCATCCGCCATACAGTCCGGACTTGGCATCAAGCGATTATCATCTTTTTCTTGCATTGCAAAATTTCTTTAATGATAAAAAATTGGAATCTAGGAAGGATTGTGAAAATCGACTACTAGAGTTTTTTGCAAATAGAGACCAGGACTTCTATGAGAGAGGCATTTTGAAGTTGCCTTTAAAATGGCAACAAATCGTACAACAAAACGGTGCATATTTGACCCAAATCGGACAATCCGAAGCATGTTAAATAAAGTCTTGAAGTTCATATAAAAATAATGGATTTCTTTTTCCCCAAACTAACATATTTATTCGTTACAGAAACAACAACAAACACGGAAAGATTTACAACGTTATCAATATTAACAAAAGAAAAAAAAAAAAACAAAAGAAATAAAAAACAACGAATATTCAGTATTCATTGTACGGTATTACAGAAGTGTTTATGTAATATATTATGTAAGTGTTTTTGAGCTTTAATTCAAAAATGCCAATCTCAATTTTAAGTCAAATCTTAACGATGTTTAAACTAACAAAAGCCAATAATATCTACACTCATACACAGATTTTTACTCACAATTATTTTCTCAAAGTTATTTTTTCGTCGAGTTTTTCGCCTAAAATAAAAAGTATCAAATTTCTAAGTGATATGTTCAATAGATGATAAGAATACATATTAATATGTAGTTTTTCTTTTTACACCGATTACCGATAGGCGGAGGTATATTCTCTTTGTCAAAATGTTTACAACACCCGGAAGGAAGCTTTAGAAACACTGTGAATGGTGGAAGGTCGGAAGGAGCGGGTATTTTGTCAACATGCCCAGAAAGAACGTTTAGAGACCGCAGAGAGTGTATGTACCACTGATCGATACCAAATTCTAAATCGATTTTGGCGTGTTAATCTCATAATCACCGTAGCAAATGTTCTCCGGGCGGCAAATGAATCTATTAACTTGAAATGTGGCAGAAACATTGGAAAATTGGTATTGAAAATGGGACAAATTGGTCGAAAGGATACGCCCACATTCCCGTATAGTCAGAGAAAGTCTTCTCTTTCTGAGTTCCTACTCATTACTGGCAAACTACAATAACCTTTGTATCAATTAATATCTTTCTACTATTATTATTATTATCATTATTAATTTAGCCTTAAGTCTTAAAGCAGAAGGATCTAAGGGTGCCGGCTTTATTAAAAACTCTGCCGCACTTAAGATTTAATAACAATTTCCGCGTAAATTCTGAAAAAATCATCCATGCCCAACTAACGCTATGCTGTATGGAAACTTAGAGTATTCGTTTGTTATATCCTACACCACTTGTGTCACAAGAATGTATTAAGGTTGTGAGAATTTATGCAGCACCCAGAGAGGCTTGAGATAAACCCACCTTTTATTATACCCAACGAAGTTGTTGGCCTCGTGCCTATCTTACTGCCCACCTGTCCTTTTTGTTTTCTGCGATATTTTAATGAAATGTGTTTGGTGTGGGAAGAAGGCTGTTGAAAATGTTTCAAGTCGGATCACTTTTTTGACCAAATCTCATATAATACCTTATTTTGAAAAGTCGTTTTATGCATAACTAAAGCTCAGTGTAGGGAATTCAATAGCGGGCGGCGTCATACTGTATCGTTTTGAATATAAAGAATTCGGTCACAACCGAATCTAATCTTTTAACTTGTGATTTTTAGGAGAAGAAGAAATTTTCTCAATGGCTACTTTAGAATACAATGCCAAGTGTATGGTATACGTGGCTAGGCCGAAACATATCAAAAGATAGATGTACATATATATATATATCTAAAGAAGGTATAAGATATAAGAAAGTATTTAAAATATCTCAAAAATTCCGATCTATAGATAGAATAGATGTCAGACAGACGAGCAGGCATCTATAATATGATTTGATTGCTTGGGGTATATAAAAGTTGGCTCTATCTCAAATTCTTTTGAACGTCCGCTGAACCTTACACTGTTGATATAGGGTAGGGTAGAGTACAACAAAAGTAATGTTCTTTGAAACGAAAGCAAACAATGCTTTTTGTTAATAGATTGATTTTATTATATTACTTGTGGCTTGAGGTTAACTTGCGCATATATGTACATATTTATAGGTATATTATATTATATATATAAAAAGGTAAACACTTACTTACCTTTGCCATAATACTATCGAATATTCTCTCCCAAAACATGGCACACAAGATAGCAAAAATACTTAGTAAAAAGCCCAACGCACTGACTAATGTGCGTTTTCTACTTTTAGTCCATATCTTCATAGTTGTCGACTTTTGTGGCATCTTGATTATATTTCAATTTCGTGTTCTCTCGCCGCTTCGGCGACTTAATAATAATAATTGTTGCTGTAATTTCTCCTATTATTGATGCCTTGTTATCATCAATTTATTTTTTGGCTGAAATTAAACAATTATATAATAATTACTTCAATTAAGCATATTTATGGCTTCTTCAACATCTTGGATGTAAATCAATTGTCACTTTTTTTATACCCGGATCAATTAGAATATATGCAATTAAGATATTATGTAACTGTAGCTGTATAGGGTCACTAAATATTTGAACTTTTAAATGCAACAAGTGAGAAAGTGTTTTATAGTCGCCCTAAAGGATAACGTTACTGTAGACTTTTCGAGAAAAAACTCTTTTTTTTTTTTTTTTTGCTCAATGGATGATTTTGTCCTCCTGGAATAAGAGGAAAGAAATTCATTGCTTAAATAAAATTCTTTCCATGAAGTTTCGCTCTTGCCTCCAAGCACTCCAAAAGCATTGAACGGATCGGATAAAGCCTTGCTGGGAAATTGCTTCCTTATGTCTTCTCTATTGATTTCTAGCTCTTCGCAAAACACTAAGAATCGAACAAGAATCGAACGATCTTTAGAAAGTACCTACCTATATATTCATTCAGAAGCATTTACGTGCAAAGTTGAGAATGATTAGAAAGCTTTTATCGCTTTTGCGAAGAAACTGAAGGCATGAGATGAAGTTTTCGATGTTGACTATGAATTCTCCTGTAGAATTAAATATTCTTTTATCATTTTCGTTGTCATGTCGCTACACATAGCGAGTGAAATTTGCGTTTCTGTTCTTCGCAGAACCTAGACACTTTCCAGAAAAAAATCATCGAGGGAAGAGAATAAAGGTGAATTTTTGGATTTGAATTTTGGGTCATAGTTATGTTTCTCAAATTGTAAGCTAATAATAAAGGCTAATAATAAACAATATATTTTATAACAAAAAAATCTGTCTCGAATACATGTGAGATACATCCTTCTCAAAAGACGATTTTTAAAAACGGCCCACAAAAAATCTCCTTCAATTTTCTGATTTTTCATCCAACTTTTCTCTAATGTCTTTATGAAGATAAACAAATGGTGAATATGTCCATTTGGCTGGTGTAGACTGCTCTTATTAAGAAATGATCGTTTTCTGTTCCTTTTTTCATTTGAAATTGAAACTTTTTTACTTAAACGCTTGCCAATCATACAAAAAAAAATATATTTCTCAAAAATCCTGCCTACCGCCTTAGCTGTAGACATGTAGATTAAATTTATTTTTATTTATTTATTTTTTTTTTTTTTGCACAAAAGAAGAGAGAGCATCTTAAATTCCCTTAAATTAAGGAACCCTCACTAAGATGGCTTCGATCTTTTCAAGATTTTTCAAAAATATCTTTTTTTATAATTAAATGTATGCATCTGAGAATAAGCGTCCACATTTGTTTAAAATTCTCAATACTTGAACATGCATTTGTATAAAAATTGCCTGCATCTGAGAGTAAATGTATAAAAATTTGCCGCCAACTGAAAGTAAGCGTCTATGATTCTCAATAATTTGTATAAAATTTCCAAACAAGTTCATTATAAATTTAATTGACCTAAGGCTCCATATTAATTTCTAAAATCTTTGCTTGCTTTTACTTTTTTCATTGACTCCCTGATAATACTAAAGAAAATATTTTAGTATTGAAATCATAAGATGAAACCATAAAGAATTTTAATGAACTGCTTTTTTTTTTAGGGACGTTGGGGGGACTGATAAAAGCTACCGAACACAATCACAAAGCGAGTTAATTGCTTAAGACAGATGTAACTTCATATTGACTTTTCATTTCCTTTACGTTTTTTGCATTTTTGCAATAGTCGTTGGCGTTGCATATTAGGCTAGTTACTCTGTCCGTAACCTCCTATATATATATATATCCTCAAGGGTATATAGCTTCTTGACTGACGTAAATTATTAAACTCTTCTTTCTTAATTTTTATACTCATCACCAAAGTTTATGTTGACATCACACCGTTATATATAGCATTGCATTCCTTTGCCCAAACGCTGATCATCGCAGAAATTCATATTGTATGTTGGAATTGGATATAAGATGAGTCGTAATCGGACTTAAATTAGTTCACCTAGTGTGTACTACTTCTAAAAGCAGGTCGCTATCGATGACTATTCGTTAAAAACTAATAAAATTTTGTTAAATTAAACGCTTTTCTCCTCATTAAAAAAAAAAACGAAAAGAAGTAAGAAAATTAAATTCTACCAGGACCGAATCTTTTATACCCACCACCGTTGTCCTAAGAAGACAAAAGAACCAACCAGAGTAAAAGTTTTCGTCGCATAGGCACGTTGGCATTGTAGGCGGCTCCTTTGAAAAGTTTAGGTCAATCTCAATTTTTTTTGCAGGCGATATCTTCATTTTCGCTAACGGGAGAATACTACAAAATTGCGCAAACAGACAGAGGGACAGACGGCCAGACGGACAGACGAACAGGTGGACATATTTGAACTGGGGAACTTTATAAGGTTTTTGAGATTATTTTTGCGCGTTGTAAAGGTATTGAAGAAACAATTAAATTTTAATAGACTATAATGTTAGGTAGGCGTGGTAAATTTTTTCCATTTTTGTACAAGAATAGTACATCATCGCCCATACAATATGGGTTCAAATTTTTATACCTTTGTTTGGTATAGTTTATCAGTAATGAGCAAAAATTAAATTTTTCATTCCTTTCGAAAAACAGAGTTGTTCTCGGTTCATGTAGTTCTGTGGGCGTGTCCTTCGACTGATTTGAAATCAAGATTTTGTCGTCAGTTTCGGGTGCGCTTATGAATTGGTCGGGAATATTTTTGAACCGACAATGCAGGTAGATCGGATGAACATTGGCGTAGAAGTTTTTACGAGATGGACAGTTACGTTTTTTCGAAATTTTCCCAACTTGTTCGATATTTTAAGCATACATGTGGGCAGATTACACCCATTTTTGTACTTTTAAGTGAAAGTCTTAATCAATTAAAATGATTTTTATACCAAATTTATGCTTGCCATCTTTAGTTTTACAACTGTGGCGAGGCTACAAAGATTATGGGTCCAATTGACGCAACTAGGCCAGTAGAGAAACATTGATCTTTTCATATAAACGGAAGTGAAAGAAGCTTGGGAGTTTTACATGAACTATAACGATTTTTTCAAAGTTTAAAGAGTGGCTTTTTGTATTTCATGGAACTCATAGGTCATACGTCAAACCATATTTACGCGTGCTGAGCATTTAGAAGTATTGTCACCACTTTAAAATATTCTCAAATAATGAGTTGCGCTAAAAGTTTCGCCTCCATGCGTGTTGGGTGCCGCCTGTTAATACTTACACTCCCAGATAAGTGTACATATACATATACATATATATATCTAATCATAAATTGCAAAACAATTATTCGCAATATTGTAAAATTAATAAAATAAATACATTGTCACATAATTGATAAAATAATAAAATTATAGGTTTAACGATGACTTTCTTCTTTTAATTGTTGCTTTCTTATCGACTTATCTAATGTGAAGAAGACTGCACTTTGACCAGTGAATAGATCAATTTCCACAAGTTCCGAAAGTTAATGATTATGTACAAATGTGACAGAGACGGCAGGGATTTTTCTTGCGAATTTTATTTGTTTTTCATCTATTTTTATACTCTACATAACTTGATATAAGGATTTCTCATGCTTGTGCATACACTGTCATGTCCATAGATTTTTGTATTTAACCGATATGAGTTATGGCAAATTTGAATGAGTTGAGACAATTTTTAAATCCTCCCCCATATGAATCATCTTTCAAAAAGAGGTCTGTCTTTCAACTACATTGCCTATCAGAATGCATCCTAATTAAATCTGCCATCATCGTCACTTATCAGACTTAAACCTATTAGAATCCACTGCTAGCAGTCAGAATTTTCAGCTGAATCATTCTCAGATATCAGAGCAGAGCGAGAATATTATAAGCCACAATAGCCTATTAGTAATAGACTTTGGAATCCACCACTGCCTGGTTTAAACCCGCCCTTACTAGTCAGAATAGAGGTCGCTGAATAGGTCGCTGTTTATTTAAACGCTATTAAAATCTATCGTTACCTGTTATATTGAACCGCACTAGTTATCCGAATAAAGGCTATTAGAACTCTTCATCGGTTGTTAAAATGCACGCTGCTAAGAGCGACCGCGTCCCTTTAGAAATCCCATTAGAATCCGACATCAGCGAACATCGCTTTGACATCCACCTGTCTAATCCAAAAATGTCTAATTTTTGACGACATAATATAATGAAGAAAAGATGGTGTAGTGTGCTTAATTTTTTTCTAAATTTCCGAACAAAACTCATAGATTGGTGTTAAAATTTCAGCTGCTTAACCATATTGTGGCCTTTTAAAACCTACCTTACACTCTCAATGCTAAGCAAAATAGAACATAAACCATTTCTTAAGCTTGTCTATGGAATCTTTCCTATGCGTCAATCAAGTCTCTTAAAGATGGAGCTTCAATTCTCAATCTCATATTATTATTCTTCGACGCTACCAACCGAAGGATAAGTAAAATTCTGAAATAATTAAAATTCGTTTCTTCTTTTAAACCCTATCTGCACACTTAAATTAAGAATCTATGCAGGAAATAGAAGTCTTGCGCAGCCAGATAATACCGGGTTAAACAACCATCGTTATACCGGCTGGAAATCTCAAACTGATTTATACCTGCTCGTAGCGTAAAGCGAACGAACATATAACATTTTTTATATAAACTGAACCTTGTATTCAGTAAAGTCCTTTGTGAATGGTAGACAGGCCGACCGAAAAAGTCTCCGCACTGAATTTTCATATGGTTCTGGAAAATCTGTTGCGTTAAGTTTTAAATCAACATCAGCTTGATATTGCTTGTTCTTGATTGTTGCTCCTTTCAGTTGACTAATCGGAATCGTTTTTGAACTAAGTTTTCATAAGGCACTTCTTTTTCTTCATTTCAAATTTTTATACGTAGTTTTAGATCAATACTTGCTCTATATATTGTGAACAAATGTTTTTACGAACTGTAAACAATGAGGGATAGATAGATCACTTTTTAAACTATATATCTTTCAAAGAAAACATGTACAAAGACGGACATACGAGCAAAAGGACATGGTTAAATCAAAGTCGAGTCCAATGCTGATCGAGAAGAAAAAAACTGGCCAAACACACAGCAGAACAGGGCTAAATTCACTCAGAATGTCATATTTATCGAGAATGTATGTTCTTTATAGTGATCGCGACATCTCCCAAAGCAGCCCACAGATTGACGAATGGACAGATAAAATCATATGGCTGAGCCGAATAAAAATTTCACGTTGATAAAAATAGATGTGCTTTACAGCAGCAATGGTTTTTTAAGAACTTGCATCAGCAATCTAGACGGACAGACAGGAGGACATGATTGAATCAAATCAGAATCCCATCTAAAGCGACAAGAAATATCCCGCATGACGTTTTTAGATAGATTTTTATACTACATAGATGAGTATATAAACTCCGGGCGAACGCGATAACATTTCCAAGCAGAGGTGTAAATAATATTTTTTCAAAAGATTCGTACATGTTCAAAACGAATATTCTCGTTCACTTTTTTCTTCTTGAGTTGCGTCTAATCATAACTCTCTAGTAAGATGTAAAAATATGCCTTTCGTATTTCTTTCCCTTCTCTCTCTCTCTCTCGTAAAAAAGTTAAGTACATAAAATATTGTACTTAAACCGGAAGCTACATAAGATATTATGGATATAAAAGACAACAATCTGTATTCTTGTTATGACACCCGTCACCGAAAGATGAGGGATACATCCATTTTGTCAAAACGTTTGCAACGGCCAAAAGAAGGCTTCGGACAACCTACAAAGTACATACATTCTTGATCGGCATCAAATTCTGAATCGATTTAAAGATGTCCGTCTGTCCGAATAAGCCTTTCCGCAGCTATTGACTTCAAACTCGGCAGAAATATTGGAAGTTCTTTCACGCAGGTTAGTATTGAAGGTGGGCCAAATCGTTCCAACGACACGCTTTCAGTACCAGGTAAACTGAGAACGCTTTTGTTTTTCAAAAGAAATAATAAATTTGGTTTTTGCTGCTACTCATAAACTGCAGTAGATAAACGGCAAAATTGGCATCGGCCTACCCGATGTTATAGTGTGCCATGATTTCATTATTTTTCCAATACTACGCACAAGCAAACTTCCTAAACCCCATAAAGTATAAAAGTTTTTGACAAATTTCACATTTGAAATGCGCCAAAGCACGTCCGTCCATGCAGTAGTCCGCATCTGTGTAAACATTCTCCCGTTCGCTAAAATAAAGATATCGCCTAAAATATTGCAAAAGAATTTGAAAATGACCCAAACTCTTTGCAGGACACGCCTATATAAATGGTGAATACTTTCGCTTTCCCTCTCTCTTGCTCGTTGCTCTACAACTACAACAGATATACGATATAAATTTCCCCACAAATTATTCTACAAAATAGGACGAGAGTGATGGGTATAAAAAATTCGGTCACAGCCGAATACGATTTTGTTACTTGTTGTTCTTTCAATTTTATATCAGCTTTAGTATGCCGACGGAATAGTTAACAGAAAACGTTTCGATATCACTGTTGTCAAGTCCCGCAAACCACGCAGAAAAAAATATCTTGTGTGTGTGATGTTGCCCAGTAGAGGGCTACATTTCTGAAAATTTCATTTTTTATCACTATCCTCGTTACACTTTGAACATGGAACGAAAGCAGTCTATTTGCGCAAAGTCGAAACGGCAACCTAAACCTTATGCGTCGTCAAGGGCGATCCATGCCGTAAACAAAATTCTAAATCAGAAATGTTTACAATCGAATATCTGTCAAAGCTATCACTTAGCATACATCATTCAATTAACTGTTTCGAGTTACATATATATATATATAACTTTTTCAGGATGTTTTTCATTTTAATTTTACTTAGTTTTTGCTGTGCATTTATGCATAGACTCAACAAATACACAAAAAAAAAGTATATTTCTCGTAAGCGAAAGACCATTTAACACATAGGGTCAATTGATACTTTCAATTATAATAGTAATTAAAAAAAAAAATACAAAAACAAAACATTCACAAATATAAATTTTTATGATTGAAAGGATCCGCATTAGCGGATTTAAAAAGTATTGTTATTCTTTTAAGTTGTGAAAGCTAAATTACAACAGATGAACGAAACCCATCTACGTTTGACTCGATCAAGCCATCCAAAGTGCAATCAAAATTTACTTAGGAGGTGCTTGGCTTTCAATATCACCTACTTACTACTATGTTCATACTTATCAACTGGGCAAATACGCCGAGATAGCTCAACATTCCATTGTATATTAAGTTTCTTGAAATGAAGTTATTAGGTAAAGAAAAAATTTCATGGCGTTTTTTCACTGAAATTCAGATGCATTTGCCCACATTTTAAATAAACTCTACCCTAACAAATATGTGGCATTACCATATTTGGCAAACAATTACGTCGGAAATTTCGGGGCGAAAAACTGAACCAAGAGATAAACTTGAAACCTTAAAGAAACCTTCTTCGGCGAAGAAAAAACCAAATAGTGATCAGATGGGCCAAGGTAGCCGGCAATGCATTACAACTTTCTCCCGCTTTTTGTCGAGTCATTAAACGTCTGTGTGATCTGCCATTCCTGGATCGTTCCTGCAATTTTGAATGCTTTGCTTCGATTAAGAGCTTCAGTCGCATCAGCTGTTAGCAGTGAAGAGTCGTTATAATCGCTTGGCCAGTCAACTTTCCGTCCCCCCGAAGGTAAAGTAGCATCATAAGGGGCGTTAGTTCGGGCTATGTCACCGGTTGTGCAGTTTCTTCTACGTTTTTTGGCTCATTACTGTTGCTCTGTACAATAGGTCCATTGCTTTTCGTAGATAGAAATTCGGTCCATAAAATCATCCAGTGCTATTAATAAGCGAACTGCCCGTTGAGCATAAAAATACTTGCACTAAGATCAGATTCCAAAAATTATTCTGCTTCGATCGACGTAATAAATGGTGAGTCTATCTTAAATCGTTCTGGGCGTTACATATGTTCCCAGAGATTCGTCGTACACACAAGCGGCGTAGGATACAAAAACATTTTCGTCTGTTGAATGAATGGGGAAAATTTGAATGGGATGGGAGCGTACTTGAACTCGTTACCATATAAGCATTCTTATAAAAAATAAGTCTTCACAGGGCGACGGAGGTCTAGTTTTTGGAATTTTATGATAGAACAAAAAAAAAAAAAGAGATAAATAAGTTGCTTGAGAGGAAAACTCATTTCACAGGTTGGGCCCTCTTCCAATATAAGACATCTTGCGGAGAGTAAGCCCTTACATGATAATTTTTGGCATTTCATGACGAAGCTTGCTGAAGACTTGTATCGAATGAGATGGGAAAGGGTATTCGATTCTGGATTTTTCTCCAAGTTTCCTCGTGTTTATCAACTGAAAATAATAGACTCGGCAAATTTAAGAAAACGCTTACAAGTGACTACCATCTGTTACGGGTCACTTGTAATTATTCGTATTAACGATTTATATGATTGTGTTGATGATATTTCATGTTTATTATGATTTTGAATTTAAAGTATAGCATACAAGTAGCATGACACATGATTCGACTTAAGCCACTGCCATATAATATATTGTTTTTCTTTTCTTTTTTTTTTTTAGTATTTATTTATTTAATGTAAGAAATTTCAGTTTAAGCGAAAACTTTTTGCATATGAAGCGTTTATTTTGCAAGTAGAGCAAATGCCACTTTTGAAAACTTGATAGAATCGCTTTTCGATCGACAGGTAAATAATATTATATCAAATAATTCGAAATCAGAATAAAGAATGCAATGAAAGAAGAAAACATTATTCCATCTATCCGTCTATTCCTAACGGAAGGTTCAGTGTGACCGTATCTGATTGCACACATTTTTATATATATGCGTTTATTTACCGCTATTCTATATTGGTTACGGCTCTCAAGAATCAAAATTTTAATCAGGCGAGGCTAGATTTGTAATCCCAAACTTAATACGGATATGCACTCTTCATAAGATGTCCCCCATATTTCCTGAGCACTGAAAGTAAAATGGAAAAATTATATCTTAATGACTCGTTTTACTTGTATACAACTCTTACATAAGCTTACATGCAAAAGTAATATGAGAAATATTTGCAAATAATTACACCCTGAAATACTAATAATAAACGGTATGTTAGGAATGTACGAACGTATGCAATATCGCAAGTGACTCCAGATAGACCCATAACTTAAACACTCTCTGCTACGCATTATTGTGCCTAACCTACAGCTGGCACTTTACGACGTGTTTACATTGGTGTGTTTCGATGCAACATCGTATGCTTTTCGAAATGAATTCTATTTTATTAAGTGCTTAACACATTAACTAAACGCTTTAGTGCATTTAATGCTCGACCTTGCCCAACTGTACCTAGTTTCTTTAAACGGCTAATGCTTAAGAAATTTAGCGCGCAAATGTAGATATATAACCTCTTTAAAACGTCTACGTTTTCATTTTAATTAAAGAGAACATAAACACACAATAAGAGCTTTGAAGCGAATTGTACTTGTTATTAATGTTTGACTTGTAGGGCGTTTATGAAGCACTTTTAAAAAACGCATAAGAATCGGATAAAAGCTTTGAGGCACATATTATCTACTTATCATCCAAAGTTGTTTTACGCATTACGCACTTCGTGTCCATTACTCGTTAAAGGTGCAAGAAACCATAACATCGCTTATGATAATCAATTCAATGCCAATACTTGCTGCAGATCATGACTTGTTGTTGATAGTTGAAATTTTCAAATCTGTAGACATTTCCACAATAACTCATCAACGCCCATGCGTGTCGTATCTTCATCCAAAATTCATTCAATTCTTTTATCGTAATTGATGTGAATGCTGGAGAAAATCGGTAAAGACATAACAATCATCCTTTGTTATACGAAGAGAAGAGTGTTTGGCCATATTAGAAAAACAAGTATATATATATACGTAGGAAAATCAGTCATAACGGACATCAAGTTTCCTCACAATTATTGTATATTTGTGGGGTCTTTGAAAATATAAAAAAAAGAAAAATCCGCCTTATCGACAGACGGACAAATGCATAAAGTGAATATACTTATTAAAAATGTATAAACTATTGCGAGTCCTTAGAGTCCTTTTTAACTTTTGATTAGAAGATAACACTATTGTTGCTTGGTCTTAGCTTCTTTCTACCTGTGGGCATTTATTATTATTAATAATAATGATTATTATTAAGAATAAAGTCTAAAATCACAAGCATCTAAGGCTGTCGGCTTTATTGATAACTCTGCCGCACTTGAGATTTGAACCCACGACAATTGAGTTGTTAGTCGATACTCTTTGCCTACTCGCCCACTCAGGTGGACATGTGGACATTTAAGTTGAAATTTTGTTAGCAAAACAATATCAACGAAAACTAGTATCTCTCCATTTGACACTGTAAACATATTGCCTAATAATAATTAATAATATCGAATAACCGGTTTTTTAATGAAATATACAAGCAACGGATATCTAAATGCAGTCGGTTCTCCTTTATTTATGAAAGCAATTACATTGTAATGAAATAATTGTTTGCCTATTGCTCTATCATCTATCATCTAATATTCTAGTCCGATTATTTATTTGTTTATGTATCTTCCAACTGCAATAGAAGGATTGTACGACCAAAAAGTTCTTACATTACATGAATTCTTGTTCATACACATGCATAATAACAAAAGAACTTATGCTTAAAACTAAATACTGAGAGAAATTATTAAATTCATTAAAAAATTAAAAAGAATGCAATAAAAAACAACAACAACAACAACAACAAATGTAGAGAAAAACAAAATATATAAACAAATAAGTAAAAAATTAAAAAATTAAGCTAAATATAAGGATTATACATAGAAACAAGTAAGAAAATTACATTCGGTCATGACCGAATCTTTTATACCCATCATCATCGACCAAAGAACAAAGAAAATAACTACATTTTCATACTCTAGAATGTTGAGTGGGCGTGGCTGATTTTTTCTATTTTCAGTATAAAAGTGGTAATATATATAATATACGTTTGGGATTTTATGAGTAACAAGCCAAAAACACGGAAAGCAAAAATGCTTTGTATAGACATGTATGCGTCATAGTCATTTTCACAGTCTTTTGCAAATTTATAGGCGATATCATCATTCTTGCGAACGGGAGAATGTTTACCACATGCTATATATATTCAGAATTTGATGTTGATCAAGAATATATATACTTTCGGGGATGTTTGAAACTATCTTCTATGATGAGTATAAAAGTAACTTTAATGACAATAATATAACCAATGAAATGTGTATATGGATAATAAAAAGTAATTAATATATCTGAGAAGAAGAAACAAAATATACATTTGTAATAGGTTGACGGTAAAGTTCTGTCGTATTTTACTATCTGCGGGTTAATTTTACTTCTCAAGCGATGGCAACCAGATCGAATGCTTAATATGGGTTCTTATTATTTAGCGAACCTCTCGCATGCAATATAAGAATGCTATTTTTAATACCTTTCACCATTTACTTACAAAGTAAATGAAGAATGCATAAAGTGGAGTGGATAAAGAGCATTTAAGACATTAAATTTGGTATGAGTTCCAAAAAGGAAGCAACGCACAAGTAGTTGGTTGTAAAAACTTAAGTAACACTTTGGAGGATGAGGTTCGGACTTGCCAAAGACCCTACTGCCGCAATGTGAGCCGTTTTAATTCGTCGAATCACATGCGTAGGTATGCCGTTCACCATAACAAATCTTGGAGAGAAGATCGTATCGTATCATATCGTATTAATAGAATCATAGGATTTATGAGAAGTTTTATTATGTATTATATATATATAATTGTGGGTATATATAATTTGTGCGTCACATCGCACAATAGTTGAAGTGATACATGGCGCCCAGTTAACTTGGACGGCGTATTAAACATCTTCCCTTATTAATTTGACAATAAATACCATATTCAGTAGGTCACGTCGTTTCTCCAGAGAGGGAAGATCAATGAATTTTACTCATGTGGGGGTAAAATTAACTGCCCATCCATTTTAGACCGCTCAACGGAAAAAGCAAGAACGTACGTTGAAGGGATTAAAGAAGATTAGCCCGTAAGCAGGAACTTTACGTTTCATATATCTTTACGCGCGAGAAGATCAGAGAAATGAAAAGAATAAAAAGCTTCTTCTAAACGTATCAGTTATGAGAAATTGTGCAAATTTGATGCCCTATCTTCCTCACGACAACACTTCTTCAAAATTCTTCGTACCGTTAAGTGGGATTGACTCTTATACTCTCAATGTTTATGCCTCCCTCCGCATTCATATTACGTATTAGTTCAGAAGGAAAAGTAACGATTCCAGAGCTTGACGTTTTCTTGCCTGGTTATTCAAAGCTGTTTTTATATATATAATAAGTAACTCTCACTACTCACGCTGATTAATACCCTATATACTTTAAGGAGTCTTTCGGCTCACACCGCTACAAGGCATTCATTCACACAAGAATTATTCCAAGCCCAGCTTTTATTTTCGGGATAAAGAGAAAACAAAATCTGGTCCGTTCACCTGAAGACAATTTACACAGCTCTCACCTACTTGGGAACTCCTTCTTCTAAACTTTATTAATTTCAAAAACAAATTTCAATACTTAGCGAAACCTTTAACGCGCACTTCTCAAATGCAACTAATTTGATATTTGAAAGATTTCTGTCATTTAAAATAATTTTAAACATAATTAATAATCCACGCCATGCACGGGTTTCTCATAACAGTCAAAAGTCTTAAAGTCAGTTTAACTTATATTGCTGAACTCTCTATATGATTGACGACTATCTTTATAATTAAAATGAATTTTTATTTTTCGTTTTTTTTTTTTTTTTTTTTTTATTTTATTAGTCAATTAATCATACCATTTTTTTTTTGCATTTTTTTTTTTTTGCAAAATCAAAAGATCAAAAATGAAGGCGTTCCAATTTAACTTAGCGTACAAATGTCCGTTACATTACTGCGGTAATGTGGTGAATGATAAAAAAGTAAGCAAACAAAAGACTCAAGAGCGATAGGCTCCGACGGGTCTGTGAATGTCGTCAGTGCTTTCTCAGTAAAAAACCACAGTCATAGTCGACTTCTTGAATCATACATTCGGGCTGATCTAATGGGATGTGATGGAATAATGTCTTTCGCAAAGAGGCTGTTGCGTCCACTTTACCTGATGTTTAGAAAACACATTGGAAAGAACGTTTGCAACCTAAGGAAAGCTTTCAGCTCTACATTCGGGTAAAGTTGGAGTAATTTTTCAAGAATCAAACTCGTGTTCATGTGAAAAAGATTTGCGCGCCTTCTCTGCAACTTAGTTGTGAAGAAGCAATTATTCGATAAGGTTTAGTTTTCTCCACCAGACAGGCGAGTAAAGCCATCCAACTTTGCGTTCGCATCTTACTCGTCTGCCATGTTTTCGTGAAAGGGACAAATCACAAGTTATTTTCACCTTATGATCACAACTGAATCTTTTTGTTACGGCCTTTTTATGTCGACCTGTTACTTAGATATTTAGACTAAAATATTCTTGCGGGCATATCGTACCTATGGTCAAACGTAATCAGTGTCCATCAGATTTATTTAAAATTGTACATGATGGGCGGACGAACGGACGGACGTAGAAATTGGCGAAGTTAGGTCCATTCAAAAATTTTTACGTAATCAGTATAAGTTTATTTAACGCTGTTTGTTGGGTAAAAAGAATAATAATCAAATTCCAATATTTGAAGGTGAAACTGCTTTACGACGAGATCAAAGCAACAATCTTCGATCTGTTAGACTTTGCGACAGATGTACTGTTCACTCTAATTGATGCAATTACTTTCCTATGACGAATAGGTTTTTGATTACAAGCGGTAGACGAAACTTGCTAACTTTTTATAGCTGGAAAGATCGACGCAATGATTATATACCAGAATAATTTAACTACTTAACTGTGTCGATCCCTTTAGCTCGCTGGAGCTTTATACTTGTACATTCCTTACACACTATATATGTGTGAAATCAAATTAGGTTGTAATGAAATGACTTGACAAAATGACAGAAATATTTTCTAAAATATGCTATAATGGCAAACACACACTCATAATGGTAAATTTTCATGAGGAAATCAGACATGGATATATGGACGGATCATAGCGTGTATAATTCGCTCAAAGATGTATGGCAAGATGTATGGATTCAATTGGAAGCCCTTCCCTCGTATACTCCTTACGAGCAGTATATGTGTAAGATGAAGCCCTCTCCTAGGTATTTTCACCGTTTACGTATGAAACGCAACCTTTTAAGAAACTTAAGATAAATGACGTAGGAAATCTTGAATACCAAGCAACGTGAATTAATTCGCGATTTTTAAACTAAATCCAATTTGAAATTAATCCCACAATTTTTTCAAATTTTAAAAATTTCCTAAATGGACAAGGAGAGACAACTGGACGGACAACGCACTACATATCACAAGCAAATCACAAAAGCATCTGTAAAATATGTCATCTCTCGCCTTAATCGTCGGCATGCGAACGGTTGAGAAATCTCTCATCTGAAAGATTAATTTCCTGATAGTTCAACTGATAATTTGAAAGAATTAATGAATTACATTTTCTGTTGATTGATTAATTACTTACATCTTTGATATGATGCGCTAGTTAGTCTCTGTATAATTTTTCTTTTATTATTTATATTTTTTTATTTTTTCCATTTAAGAAAGGTTTTGAAATTCCAATGCAATAAATTTTAATTTACTTGTATTACGTATTAACTAAAAGATATTTCTTTTTTGTTTTGTTTTTTTTTTTCCTTTTCTTACACTTTAGTAATTCTCATGCATTTATTCGATTTTATTTCAAGTGGTTTTACACACTATTTTCAAATTGTAACTTTTATCTATTTCCCGGCTTTGTTTCAAACCCAACGCTAAATCGTATCAATCAATCAATCAAACAAAAGAATAACAGCAAGCACCTTAAGAGAAACTTGTTGACTATCTAACGGCATTTCTAAGCGTATAGGACATTAAACCGTTTTGTCGAGCAGCTTAAAAACGACTGTTCTCACAATTCCAAATGAACGAATCGAAGAAGAAGTCACCAATTTTTAGAGTAATGCAGCAAAAAATAAATAACAATAAACAAATCGCTTACTTTACGTACATAAGTGTAAGTAAAATAAAATGATATGAGTTTCTTTTTTTTCGAGAGTTTAATGTAAAGTAGAGAAAAAAAATCCATCATGTAAATCATACATGATACACTTAGACGACAAACGCCAACTAATACTAAGTGATCTCATCTAATTAGTAAATTGCAAGTAATGAGAGCAAAGAACCAAAAAAATAAAATTGAGAACAAGTATCCCATAGAACACACATTCACGCCTCTAAGTATAATAACTAAGAGAATATAAAATTACTAAATTATTTGATTATTAATTAAGAGCAAGAATTTTGAATTATATGAGCACACGAACACCACCAGCAACGAGTGATAGTTCTGATAGTTCTGTTGCGTTGAGAATATTATAAAATATTTCTTCAGTTTTTGTTTATTTAATAAAAACACCCAGAAAAAATTCCGTAGGCAATCATTTTTTAAGCTACAGAGAGAATTGCGAGGGCCGTACATTAAGAACTTACTCGAGTAAGTAAGAAGTTCTGTTGACTTTCTTGTAGCTTGACTTTCTTATTTATGTTAAGGGCAAGAATCCATCCGAGAGATATCAGCTTTTGTGTTTTTTATTTGATTCTAAAAACTAATAAAGAAATAACCAAATTTTACTTATTCACTTATCTTATTTTGGAAATGGGATGAGTCCTCCGTCTATTAGATGAATTCTTGCTTGCAAAGTAATGCTGTAAGGAAAAAAAAAGTTAATTAAAAAGCCACTGTTGGCTTTCACTTCAAGCGTTTGCCGTAAAAATGGGAAAGTTTCCTCCGAACTACGGATGGTGTATCTATTCAGTTGTTGAAATATATTATATCAATATTAGATATGGCGTAGCTTTGATATGCGCTTAAGTGAAATGCAAGAGCTCTAAACTAGAGCAAAACAAGCAAGACGGGAAAATGCAAATAGGGAAAAGGGAAACGAAGAGCCTCAACATTCTCTACAGACCTTGAGTGACCGATTATCAACAGATCGCGAATAATTAAGTTAAGCAATTTATAGCCCCGTATTGTCGTATTTTTTAAGGCATCTCTGTTTTTACGCGTTTTACTCAGAAGTAAAAAAATTCACCCGGAATTCACTCAAGTCCGCTATTATTCGATGCTATTCTCCCATTTAGAATACTGTCACTTAACTTAAAAAGGCGATAGCCATTATCGTAAAGAGTTACACACACCTCGGTGTACAATATATTTTTACTGCGAGCACTTACTATAATTTTAAAAAGGCCCTCGTATAAACTAAAAAATATAAAATAAGTATAAGGTATTTGTAAATTACAGAGGCATACGTACGTTCGTACACAGGCATTTTCTTTTATTACTACAGAACCAAATTTAAATCACTGATTGACATACATATTTCGTAATTTGATTCTTAGCAAGGGGAGCAAGGGGGCAACGCGTAAACTTATCAATGTAGATAACTTTTAAAAATCTTTTCTTCTCTAAACTATGCGTATGTTCTTACAATGAAACCTATGTAAATGTACAATGTGTAAAATTTCCAGTGCAATTCATCGCCTAACTGAGTCTTAATCATATCTTATCGCTATTGCGTGTCAATGTTTTTGGGTTCTTAATTAGATTATTTTGGATTATTTCGGTATAAACCGAAAAACGCAACTTCACTTTCTCTTACAATATATATTTCGTAATATATTTTAAGGAGTTCATCAACTAATTCAATTAAAAAATTTCCCTGTTTTTGTTTTTGCTCTTTATATAAGTATATGGACATTACATATTTGTTTTTATAATTTTCAATATAATCTCTTCATTAATTATGAAATTGTTATGCTTCTTATTATACTATAGATTTTATGAGCAATAAATGAATCAATTAAACAAAGTATTGTGGCTTCCGCATAGTTATGCCATGGTCAGCTAATGCTGGCGTCAAATCCTCGATAGCCAAGGTGTATTTCCGGTCTTTATTAGCTTTTTTATCCTAGAAAAAATCAAAAGTAATTATTATAAACAATTTAAAAAAATAAGTCGAGTTTTAACGCTCATAAAAAAAATGGTTTTCTCAAAAAACTAGATGAAATTGTTCCAAAACTCATGGTGCTGTTAAAGTAGTTATTGTACTTTTTGCATGGATCAACCCAAACGTTATTACAAAAAAAAAAACTGCATAGATGCCTAAAGTTATCTTTGTCTAATAGCAACTTGATTGTATTAAAAAAAATAGTAGGAAAATGCAAAAGATGCTTAAATGTGAGTAGCTGTACACTAAACTAAACTGTTGAACGTTTAATATCTTACCTTATTTGAGCCATGACTCCCAGAATGTTGACTTATGTTGCGGGTCTTGCAGTGCTGTAGCGCATCATTTGCAATATCCGAAATAAATTTCTGAGCCGTTACAGATATAATACGAACAATGCGGGGATCTACTTCTTCAAATCCTGCCATGTTTAAATAACGGGATGTTAAAGCATCTGGGATCGTCGGAGAATAATCTTCGAGATGTTCCAGCAAATCACCGAGAGAATCGCCTGAAGGCGGCGGCTCTAAGTCTGGACAATTCGGCGAGGGTATATTTTCTTCATTACTTACAACCATAATTTAACTACGTTTGCCACAATATTATTTATATTAAAAAATGTTACAGTTCAAGCAAATATTGTTTTATTCTTTTCTTCTTCTTCTTGAAAGATATTCAACGAAAAAGAGGTGATTAGCTGGCTCATATTAAAAAAGCTCAATGCGAACAAGAAGTAGTTTGGGTAAAGCTTAATACAGTGAAAACACAATTAACGCATGCAAAATATTTCTTATCTACGAATTTTACTCCAGCAATGCAATGCAAGCTATGTGTTCAACTATATACAAACAGATACATCAAGACATAAATACATAAATACATGCATTCATTCATGGAATTAGATATTAATTGTGTATTAAATAGAAAAAAACAGAAAATCTTAATACTTAGGAACATTTCCCTCGAGTGTATTACTTACATGTCGTTATTTCTTGGCAGCTGGTTCATAAAAGAAGAAGAGGAGCTGGGAATTAAGAGTTTTTATTATTAGTATTGTAATAAAAATAAATAATAATAATAAATTATAATTGTTAATATAAAAACGATTAGATAATTGGAAAAACATGATCGGAACAAATTTTGGTATCTACCGCCCGAATACAACCAATACAACAAGTCAACAAAGTCAACAAACTCAACAACAAGAGGTAAACTATTAGCAAATAATTAGTCGCAATTTTCTTTTTCTTATAAACGCCTATTTAAAGACCACCCAGTTAAGCGATTTCATCTTACAATTAGAGGATTATATACCAACCGTTCCAGATGCCGTCACAGCGTTTTATTTGAACTCAGCTGGCTTCGAATCTAGTGATCCTCGAATTGTTAGATTGATATCGGTGGCTACGCAAAAGTTTATTTCCGATGTGGCGAACGATGCTTTACAAAATTGCAAAACTAGGACTAGCAATCAGAACGGTCCTATTAAGGTTGCATAAAAAATCTGACGTAATCAAAAATTGAAATTGACAAATACATGCATTTCAGGGACCCAAAATGAACAAGGAACGGAAATATACGATGACTATGGAAGATTTAGCCCCAGCTTTAGCCGATTATGGAGTAACAGTACGCAAAGCTCAATATTTTCCCTGAACTGTATATTTTTATTTTGTATATTCAAACTTCTCGAGATTAAATTCTATTTAAGAACTTAACGTCATAATTGGAGTTTATTTATTAATAGTAATACAAAAATTCTCTAGTTACTAGTTACTGGCAGATGAAAAAACGTTTAAGAGAACGCTTTGTACCTCCTGATACATGAAAAGCTAAAATAGCGGATGCTACAGTCAAACAGTAGTTGATAATTAATGACGCGCTGTATAACTCCTGAGCATTTAGCAGAGTGGTTAGGGAGACAACCATATGCGTAATGATTACATAGGCTATGTGCATGTAGTTATTCGTGTCGAATGCGTTATAAAATATTACACTCCAAAAAGTGTGCAACAAACATATAGAGAGTGCCTGTGCAGAGGAGACTAAAAAAAACACTTCAGATCCGCCTTTTAAGCCAAGTGTTGCTGGACCCCACTAAAAGTCAAGAAAATAAGGAATTATTACAAAAACAATTCTATCGTCTAATCCACTCACCATATCTGCCAAAACATTAACCAAAGCAAACATTGCTGATATAATACCAAAACCGAAGCCGCTAACATAAGCCAATATGTGCTTGTTTTCAATGACGCGTGTATCTTCAGCGACCACCTGCAATCCTTGCTCAGTACGTCTTAAAATTCGATAAATAATATAACGAAAACCTTCTTGGAATAACACTGAGAAAACAACACCAAACGCTAAAAATTTCCTTAAAGGCACTATTGCGTACCATACGATTGATGAAGCAAGCAACGAAACCAGCCAAAAGAAAGCAGCAACTATCAAGATTATAATGCGAATAGGATCATTAGCGATTGTAAAAATGAATAATGCCAAGGGAGGACCAAATGCGATCATAGAACAGCCAAAAAATTCTGGCATAGTCATCGTGGTAACAGGCTAAACTCGCTTCTGAATAGCTTATATTTTCTTCTTTTTTTTTTTGGTTGTTAAGTTAAGATTAAAGTTTTATAATAATAAAATAAACTTGTTTTTGCTCTTATACGAATAACATTTCTAACATATAAAAAAAACAAACACCCACCGAATCAGCTGATTGCACAACATATGATTTGTTAGTTTAGGGAATACGTAAATTCAAAGAAACAATTGTCAAAAGTAAATGTAGGGTTTTGAGATCACTACATCACTGCAACAATTCGCATGAAAAAATCAAAAAAACCAAAAGACCGACTGTTTGGAAGAAATAGAAAATTTTTGTAAAAATTTCAATAAATTGTCATAGAATCTGCTAAAAAGTAGTCATCATGCTCCAATGTGAAACTATAAAAGAGGACGAACTTCCCTCAAATACATTAGAGCATTTCGTCGAATTGGAGCAAGTATTGCAAATGATTGACTCGATTCCCACATATTTTACCGCTAATGAAGCCACTGATGCCCCAAAATTTGAAAAGGATTTCGAAAAGTATACCGAAGTTTTATCACGGTAAGTGGAGAAATGAAATGGAATCGTATTTTATTCTCTATGTTTGCATGTTGGCGCAGGTATCAAGAGCAGCCTCATTTATTAGACCCACATATGGAGAAATTGCTAGGGCGTTTGCTAAACAAAATCCGTGACCGATCCCAAACAGAAGCAGTAATGCACGCAGCTTTTAAATATTTATATATAATATGCAAAGTACGAACTTACAAAATATTGGTTAAGTTTTTACCCCACGAGTTAAACGATCTTGACTTTGCTTTGGACACGTTGGAACAACAAGATCCTATTGCTTTTAAAAACTGGGAAACACGTTACGTATTACTGCTATGGTTGTCCATTTTGGTATTGAATCCTTTTCATATGTCTCGCCTAGATGCCTACACTACTCAAAATAATGGCGAAGGTAATGCACAATTCATTGCGAACAGCAAAGGGCAGCAAAAAACAAAAATGGAACGCATTTACGATTTGTGTAAAACATTTACATCCTCAAATGATACATGCAGTAACATATCAGCATTCCTTGCTGCCAAATTTTTTGTAAGAGTTGATATTAAAGATTTATATTTAGAAAGTTTCTTGGATTGGGTAATCAGTCAACATCAGGCTAATACGGTGGATTGCAAATTTGGACAGTTACAGGCGGTGGCAGCAATTTTAAAACATGGCAAACGTGAGGATTTACTTCCCTATGCCGACAAACTTCTGCAGTGGATTATAAACTGTCAATACAAAGATGGTTCAGATTTTCTCAAGTACAAAAGTTATATGAAAATTGTGCAACGTATAGGATTGGTATATTTAAAACCACGCGTAGCTAACTGGCGGTATAAGCGCGGCACACGTTCATTAGCCATGAATCTCAATCAGGTAGAATCTTCTATCGGTCAAAACACAATAGGAGATTCTCAGGATATCATCGAGGAGCATAGCTCTGAAGAAGAAATTTTAGTTCCTGATGCCATAGAAGAAGTTGTTGAAGAATTACTTCAGGGTCTGCGCAGTGGAGGAAGTGAAATACGTTGGTCGGCTGCCAAAGGCCTGGGCCGTGTGGCTAATCGGCTTTCCAAAGAGCTAGCTGATGACATTATTGGTTCTGTTATAGATATTTTAAGTCCATTGGAACCACATGAAGCCTGGCATGGAGCCTGTTTGGCTTTAGCCGAATTGGCGAAACGTGGCCTTTTGTTGCCTTATCGTTTGCAAGAGCTCGTTCCGTTACTAATGAAAGCTTTGTTCTATGATGAGATGAAAGGTCATATGTCAGTCGGACAACACATACGAGATGCAGCTTGTTATATGTGCTGGGCCTTCGCCAGAGCCTACAATTCTGATGATTTGCAACCTTTTGTTAGTCAAATTTCAGCTGGGCTCCTAATTGTAGCTGTATTTGATCGTGAAATCAATTGTCGGAGGGCAGCTTCGGCTGCTTTTCAAGAAAGTGTGGGCCGTTTGGGCAACTTTCCATACGGTATTGAAATATCCACTACTACTGACTTCTATTCAGTAGGTTGGCGCCAAAATTCTTTTCTAAACATTAGCGATTTTATAGCGCAATTCGAAGAATACCGCAAACCTTTAATAGATCATTTAGTGGAACGAAAAATAAATCATTGGGATATTATTATAAGAGAACTATCAGCGAAGGCTTTGCATAGGCTTACACACCATGCTCCAGAATACATGGCCACCGTAGTTATGGATCAACTGTTTTCAAAAACTGATTCTATTGATATTAACACACGTCATGGTAGCGTTTTGGCATTGGGAGAAATCATCTTAGTATTAAGTAAAATGGATGCTGAAAAATTATCAAAAGAGGGAGCGAGTAACGCGTACTTGTCGAATCAAGCAATAACTAATCTAAACGAACTTATTTTGAAGTTCCTACAAAGGGATCTCTTTCGCGGCATGAGCGGTGAACTGATGAAGCAATGTTGCACAGACTTCATTAAAAACTGCAGCCTGGCCAATATTGAAGTTACCACGGAGTGCTTGGGTAAGTTCCATAGTATGTACCTATCGAATATTTTATTAATCGTATTCGTACCGCAGATTCATGGCAGATGGTAATAGATAAGTGTCTTATAAATAAGACAGCTCCGACTCGAGAATCAGCTACAGAGGCGTTTGCTCAGCTATGCAGAGCGTTCTATGACACACCACAAAGGGCGGAAACAAACGATGAGATAATTAAATTCTATTTGAAGGGAGTAGAAAATACATTAGAGGAACATATACGAATGGGTTATACAGGTGCTTTAGGGGCGTTGCCATATTTTATGATTTCTCCTCACATCGATGCATTAGTAGACAGCCTAACGCAACACGCCTTAACTCCACTCCAAATTATAATTGAAGGCGGACAATTTAGAAAAGAATTCGAAATGACGCATAATTCTACGCAAAATTGGAGCGAAGCACGCCGTGATAGCGTTAAAGCGTTAAGTAAACTAGTGGAGACTGTGGGTTTTAATAAAGACTCCAAAGGTAAAAACGTTGCGCGACATCCTAATAACCATTATAAATTTATGGTACAATTTTCTTTATAGTAAGCTTTGCCAATACTAGATATTTTAACAAGGTGTTGGATTGCTTTCTAAAAGCATTGGGTGAATATACCTTAGATAATCGCGGAGATATTGGCGCTTGGGTCAGAGAAGCGGCAATGAATGGTATTTGAAAAATCTATTAGCTTTAATTTAATTTTAATTTAATTTCTTTCCTTAAGCCATTTATCAGTTGTTAAAGCAATGTCCCATGGAATTACTGCGAGCTGATTATGTACATGAGGTTGTAGTGAGTTTGATGCAACAGGCCGTGGAGAAAATTGATCGCACGCGTGGTTTGGCGGGACGCATACTTTGTCAGTTGATTCATTTGCAGCCAGAAATACCGCATATACGTCACCATCAACGGTTGAAAGAAACGTTTCCCGACGATGCGAATACAGTTTTGTGGTTGTTCGCGGATCACACATTTCCCATGTTTTGCTCCCTTTTGGATCTTACCGATTATTCGCAACGCCTTTTATTGGGCTTAAGTGCCAGTATAGGTCAACTAACGGAATCTTTAATTAAATATTCTTCGGCTGCCTTCTTTCAATTTCTTCGCCATAACCCTAATGAAATACCGCGTCTTTGTCATGAGATGATCGAAAATTTTGAGAAAAACTTACTCAACGAAAGGGTAACATATCCTATGTTAAACTTTTTCGACACTGTTATAAGCTCAGGTGATTTGAAAATCTAACCCTAATATGATATTCTATTTGATAAACGTTTCATATACGTTTTGTAGGTACCATTAACTCGGCATTGCTTGATGAGTCCTCAACATTCGCCGACGATTTATATCGTTTACTCAACTTAGAAATTAAAGGCTTTAAAAAGCTTTATAAGATTGTTTCCAGTATTAATGTTTTTTGTCAGTTGGTTCAAGTGCCTCATCTATGTAAGAAAGTGCTCTCAAAATTGTCGGTATTCCTCGGTTTAACTCACGTGCACATACGTAAGACAACGGCTACCAAGTTATATGAAGCATTAGCTTTGCATGGGGAAGTCTGTAACATACCTGAAGAAAATATGGAAGCGGTATTGAATTTGTTGTCAGAAACCGACTGGGGTTTACCGCTATTGGAGGTGAGGCCGATACGTAATGAATTGTGCAAATTAATGGATATTAAGCCACCCCAGTCAGCAGCATTAAGTCCGCGTCTTACCCATTAGAAATCATTTCACAGATTTTATGATTTTTCTGTTGGAATAAACCTTGCATTTTCTACTTCGCAGAAATTTGCACATTCCATACAATTTGTTACTTTTGGTGGCTCTACAAATACAACATGATCAATACATTCAATAAAAATGGATGTTTGCAAATTTGCTTTTGTTCAGACAATAAACATACAAGTATTTTTTTCCTTCAAAATGAGGAATTTGACAGCAACAAAACAATGCGCGTCTAATGTATTCATGTTTCATTATTCGAAAATAATTTTAAATTGATAACTACTCGGAATTTAAAAGTCTTCTGGTTTCTTTTCTTTCTCTTTTATTAATTTACAATTAATGTAATTTTTTGACGTAAAACTACTACCACTAAATATGTCCGATTATGTTGTTTACTTTCTTTTTTTTTTTTTTTTTTGATGTGACATAATTTGTTTTACTAATTTTTTTAGAAGCTTTTTATCGACTTATTTAAGACATTCTTTTTAAAATGTGTTAACGATGAATATAGGGGAAGTTAAGAGATAGCAGAGGATGAAAAAGATGTACATATATATGCATATATATATGTATATATATATATGTACATATCAATGAAATAAAATTTACATAAATACACTTAAAATTAGCGTTTGTTTTTATAAATTAAGAGTAATCAATAAAGGTAATAATTATTGTAATAAAAATTAAAGTGCCTGCGGATAAAAATACACATCATGGGCAGTCATAATTATTTTCATGTAGCGTAATAATTAATTTAATAGTTCAGCATAAAAGAAGATAAGATTTTAACGGAATAAGCGAGTAAATGTTTTCAAGGCCACGGTCACGGATTTCGGAGCAGTAGCTCTATAATTTTAAAAAATTAAGATATTGCATTTGTTTTCCCGTTTTGTAATGGACTGTCAATGCACTTACCTCATGACCGTATTGCAAAATTCATCTAATTGCAGCTGGGTGGCGGTTACGTAGCCTCCTGAATTTTTCCTTGGCAAAGCATCCAGAGCCGTCTTAAGATATGATTCCATCTGTTCGCTGGTCACAACAGCCTTGAGTTCTGTCAAAACTTCTGCTACATCAGGCAACATATACGAGTGCAAACAAAATACTGAGGCGTGTACAAGATTCATAACTAGGGCTTCTCCATTTTGTTGAGCGATTTCCGCCACCAATGGCTTGCATTCTGACAAGCGATAATTATTACTGCGTCCCCATTTTAGAAGATTGCAAAAAAATTTCATGACCGAAGAATTCGCTTCACGATGATCTAAAGTGCAGGCAAGCAATGCGCATTGAAATATGGGCGTAACCAGTGCACTTTGTAGGAAGGGTAACGGACAACAATCTATGAAACGCGAACACAAGCGAAAAAAGTCGTCCACAGTGTCTGGATTGTTTTTTAAACCATTCTCTACTTGCAACATTTTAAACGTGGGCTCAATAAACGCCTTTAGCATTGCCAAGAGCCCGTTTATGCATTCGTCAACTTTGGCAAATTCATCTACAAATACTGAGCCCAAATACAGAAAGCAACTATGATGATGTAAAGTGTACAAGCAAACCATTTGGTTAATTAAAGGCTCTACCAACAATGACGCTTGTTTTCGTACCATACGCACACTGTAGCGTATTAGGCGGCAAGTGCGCTCCATCACTCTTACGTCCGTTTGATATTTATCCATTATTTGGGAAATCAAAGGCCAAGCCTCATTCAGAATCTGTAAGGTGGGATGCATTTCGTCGGTGCTGACATCAGGATTAGTATGGCGTATAACAGCACAGGCTCTATCCACCCAATAAGCGGGATCTGTCCGCTCACCCTTGCAAACTACAGCGACAGGCCCACTTTTCACTAGCTCCGCTAAAGGTTCTAATTGAAATCTTATTATCTCGCGCATAGCCGTATCTAATTGATTTCTAGGCAGACGCGATAATATGAGCGAAATGCCTTTCAATAATCCTATCGCCAAGTCATTGTTGATTTCGAAACTATCTAAACTTCCAGCTATGTTCACCAGTCCAAAAATGTGACACGTCATTTTTTGCCGGCAGGACGAACAAATTGAGGTCAAAGCAATGGCGGCAGCGGCAGCCAAACCATTTTTCTGCTGCAAGGAGCACAATAAAAAATCTAGTACGGCTTGCAGCGTCTCCGGATGATTTTCAATCCAATCGCATAATTCGCCAAGCAACATAATCGAAGTATAGCGCACGGCTATATGAGTCTTATCTGTAAGATTAAGTATAGCTTCCACAACTTTGGGAATAATTTCGTTTTCATCTCTGAAAAAAAAAATAAAAAAAAGGATAGATGAATCAAAAAACCTGACTTACGAGAATTATAAAGAAAATGTTTAATATTTACGGTATAATATTTTTGGCTACATTTTGCATGATAAACAATGCCGATTCTGTTGACTCCCACGTGGTCCCTGGCGACTGCAATAGCAAAAACATTTGTTTAAAACACGCTCCCGAACCCACAATAAATGCAACATCCTTTATTAGATCGGAAACCTTTCGACGAAAGTCCTGCAAAATGCAAATAGATCAAATTTCCTTCCAACACTTTTGCGAAAAAGGAATTGCAACAACTCACACTAAAACTATCGTTTTCATCTAGTAGACCTTCCTGATCGGACTCCATTTGCGCTAAACGATATAAAGCACCCAATAAACGCTCTATATGAGGCTTAAAATGCGCTGTTAGTGTATCATTATTCCGTTGAAATAACTCCTCGCTAAGACTGTACCATAAGTTGAACGTTATCTCAGCCACCTCATAATCGAAATGCCCTACACAAATTAACACTAAATCCAGACCTTTTATTGAATAATGCGGCATATCATCACTTTGAAGCATTTCGAAGAAGAACGCTTCGCACAGTACAGTAAATATACGGCAATAATTCATCGTCTTATCTATGTCCTCGGTACCCACACTAGTATGATAGGCTGGCTCCAGCATGCAAATGCAATTGAATATTTGCAATTTAAACTGAGGATCTAAGCTTGTGCTGAGCAAGGCGCACATACATTCGGTAGCGGTATCGTGTAATTTGCGCGAAGTGCTTTCCATGCTTAGCAATTTGAAGACTTGTTGCGTTAGCGGATTTTGTGCTGATTGCTGCAGACGTATGGCGTGTATAGCCACCCAGGTACTGTAGCAACGTAGGGTCGCATTTAATATTTTCTCTTGATTAGTTTCGCTTACATGCATGCACATGCAAAGATATTCCATTACTTTTGGAGCGGCTGCTTCCAACTGCAAATGTACCTCTTCACGTCGGTTCGCTCCCAAACGCAAATACCGCGAATCCATTTCTTCCGGTATTAATGTAAGAATTTCTAAAAGCGGCCACATCGACTGCGGCTGCGGTGATAACATATCTAGTAAATCTAAAATGGGCTGCTTCCACGACGCCATCAATAAAGATAAATCAGCCAAAGCCAAGCATAATTGTGTTACTATTATATTGTCGGTGTCAATGGTTATTTGTCCTATATGAGTTATCAAAGAGTCACGTAACGATTCATGCGAGGAGGGCGGCAATTCATTAAATGAATTTTGAATTTTATTACGCATTGTCTGAGCAGCGAAATAACATGAATGCAAGTCCCGTTTTTGTTGCAGCAGTTCATCGGCTATAGTCCATGAGTAAATCTAAAAAGAGACGAATTAATTCTTCCTGATAGAAAGACACTGCAAAACCTTACAGATTTCTGAAATTCTTCTAGCCATTTACTAGCTTTTTCCTTTTCTCTGGGATTGGTATTGTGAAAAAGCGTACATATCCCTTGATATACCAAATCAGTGGTTGGTGCCACTTCCATCATCATTTGATTTATTAAACAAATCCACTCTTGGTCAAATTCACGATATTTTTTGCATCAATTTTTTTGCATAAACACCGAAAAATAATTTAGTTGCCTTCTGGAAGTTATCGCTGTTCTTATGTTTTTACATCGTGCTGCCACCTGCAAACAAACCGGATGAATAATTTTAAAGATTGCTAAAATCGCAAATACCGTATACAATTAATTTGTGAAAGAAAGCATTTTGCTTTGAACGTTTTCCGCGTTCAAATGAAAGAAAATGCAAATTGGATCGCACTTTCAATTTAACACCTCATTTTTCAATTTAAAAAAGAAAAGTCATAAAACGAATCCTGGATATAAACATTTTAGATATACACATTATATCTTTGCTGTACCTTTGATTTAATTTGATCTAAGCAAACTATTTTTTGATATCACAACACTCGTTACGCATGGATTATACCATAAATAGCATCGTCTATAAGGATTAGGTCACCGTTTAAGTAAATAAGAATGTTTATCCTGATTATTACTATATATATTATATAGATTAATCAAATTCTAGGACTAAAAATTGGGACACGCACCAGAAACCAAGACCACCAGCTCTAAATTATTATTATTATTTATGTGATCTCTTTCAACATTTTATCAGAATTTTTTTCTTAAATTTTAGTTCTTTAATTGGCGCCTTTTTTGCTTTCTAGCGTAAAATGATGTTCGTGACCATTGAAGCTGTAAAATGAGAATGTTGGAACGTCTACACCGACTAATATGTTCTATATTTATTGTTCCCTTACGATTTCCTTGCGGAAGTTCGAATAAAGCAAACCTTACCTGGGGATTGTTTCGCGACACTGTGTTCGTTCATAGTATTTAAAGAACGAAACGTTGAAACTGGAAAATAGATGTAATAGTTGTATTGTTACTCGCGTCAAAGCAAGGTGCACTACTCTCATCATGTCTAGTGTCATCTCCCTGTGGTTGGTATAAAAACATCATCGCTCCTAAGCAACTCTTGGAAAAGGTAAGTAATACTTATGTAAAATTTGCAAGTGGTAACTGTAGGAACTAAGCACTTCGTTATTTTATGCTTTCTGTCAGCTCGAATTGGGTGTCATTTGATTTAAGAATTTGGTTTTTTTATCGAAAAATAATTTTTTTATTCTGTTTCTTGAGTTTTATGATTGGAATAAGGATATGAAGCTTTAAAAGATTTTATTTTCTCGCTATTCTAAATGTTAACTTGCGCTTTTCAGGCGTTATGTAATGTTTTATCATTATTATTATTATTATAAATTTAGCCAGAGAATAAATTCTAAGACTAAAGTCTTAAAGCACTAGCATCTAGGGCTATCGGCTTTTTATTAATGTTTTAAAAATATATAAAGAGACTGTTTTCTTTTCTTATTTATTGCAAAGTTACTTCGATTTTAAATTGTTTCAAATATAGAGAAAATGAAGAAAGAGGTTTTACGTAAATCTTTTTAGAACAAATAATTAACTGACATGGAGAAAGTATCAGAAAAAAATGTAGGCCTTTTAAGAATTCAAGAGAGAAGAAAGATTGTCTCTCTTCAATTATGAATGTAAAAGAAACATATTTCAATATCCATTAGAGGGCAAATACAAAAAGGAAGATTTAATGTGGTTTATAAAGGGGATAAGCAATAATTGCGACAACACAACGAAATATGCGAAATTCATATACATAATTTATACTCTTGCACACCACACTTCTTAGCAGTGAAGCGTGTTAGAAATCTAGACATATTATGAATTCTTCTTTTGCCAAAAAAGGAAAGATAAGAAAAGATATCAAACTCCATTTGCCCATTTAAAGCCTGCCTGCTGGCAACATCTGTACCCGACAGGACAATTGCCGTTCAGCAAGAATCGATTTCAAAAGTTCGACGTACACTTTATAATTAAATGCCACATTGTTCAATATTCTTCCCTACTAAATGGCTTCCATATTCCTTTTTTTTTTTTTTTATCTTAAAGAAGTAAAATGTAACGTATATCGATAGGGCAGTGGGAGGTGCATTTTAGCTGCCTTTGAAAGCATCGTTATCAGAATATACCTTTGGAGGCATGATTATCGATAGATTTGAATGCTTGGAATGAAGGATGATTAATAATCCAAATTATATTTTTGTACAAGCCGTTTTCGTCTCAACTAAATCAAGATTAAAACGGATTTGCTATTATCATGATTCCCTGCAACCTTTCGTTTCTAAATTTTGCACTTTAATGAATATTTTCTTTTATAAAAATAATACATAGAATCAAATGTTCATGCGCTTATTTTTCAGAGATAGCTCTCTTGTATTTTTTCCGCTTAATAAGAATTCATAATTAAAGTAAACATTTTGCATTAAGATTTTTAATTTTAATGGCTTCGGTTTCGCTTTTCTTTTTTTCTTTATCTTCAAATTATTGCCAGTAACTTAACCAAAGAAAATCTCATATTACAATCGATGTCGTACTTTTAATACATATAAATATTCACCAGGTATTCTTCGTTCAATCAATTTTTCGCTTTTAAAACCGAGCTTTGTCAGTGCTTGCATCACTTCTTCTGGTTTATTTTCTTTTAATAGCAGGAGATACAATACTCCTCGTGGTGATAAAATTTCCGGCAATTTCACCAATAAAGTATCAATGATTCGTCTGCCATGCTTACCGCCCGCCCAGGAATGCACTAATTTGCTTTTAGCATCTCGGATTTCCTCGTCTGCCGTAACAACATAGGGAGGATTGAATAGCAGCAAATCTATTAAATTGCAACGCACATTATCTACTAGATTACCGCATATACATTCCACCTCCACACCATTACGCTGGGCTGTACGCTTTGTCGCGCATGCTGCATAGCGATTGATATCTACAGCTAAGCACAATGTGCTGGAGGACAAGCGCTTTGATAAAGCTGTAATAATTATTCCACTACCTGGGCCAATCTCTAAGCATAAATTAGGGTTTAGTTCTTGTTCTATAAACTTTAGATCAATTTCTAGAGCATCTAATAGCAAAAAAGAATCTTGTGAGGGTTCATAGATATTTTCATAATCCGTATCTGACAAATGATCGATATATGGTGTTTCCATTATTTTCGAATTTTGCTTAGGGAATACTTGTATTTATAGCTGAATTTAGCAGAGCTTGTCGTTTTCTCTGCTCCTTCTCAATAAGCTTATGCAGACCAGTTAATCGCTCTTGGCTGGTGGTTAAAATGTTAGAAATCACTGTAACTTTGTGTTTGACGTTTATTAGTTCTTTGACTTTGTTAGAAAATTCAGGTATATTTTGCTGTGCTTTTTCAATTTCCCGCAACTGCACTGATAGTGCTTCTAACTGAGCTTTCAATTCCAACTGAGCGACTCTTGTGCCTTGTATTCTTTCATCCAGTTTCTCCACTACAGGTTTAAATAAATTTATCAATCCTTCGGCTAAAATATCTCGAGTTTGATTGTTGCAAAAGTTTTCCGTATTCTCGTCCAATGAAGTCACTGTACTATCAGAATCTTTATCCATTATTTTTTCCTTTTTTTTTCTGTAATATAAAGTTGACATGGATTAGGAACTAAACAAAATCCATTATTTTGTTTTTCTTCGTCTTGAATATTCAGCACGTCAACAACAGATGATTCGCCCAGCGTTGCAAAAAGAAAAGTTACAGTGTGAAGGCAAATTTTTTGTCTGCTTTTTTAAATAGACTTGACAATTCATTTACGTAAACGGATGACATTTTTGTTACTTGTAACCATTTTCATATGTCGCACGTAATGCACTTAAATTTTTCTTACAAAATTTAACCCAAATTTCACAGTTATTTACAGAAGATATACATTTTTTTTTTATGTGAGTGTTTGGATAAAATACTGAAAAATAATAGGGGGTAATATGAAAGCAGTGTCGGCGACAAAAAACAATGGTCAACGGTCCAAAATTCAGCTCTCGATCGTTAGATTATTTAAATTTAAGTTAGGCGAGTTAAAAAAACAAAAAACTACTAAAGAATCAGTTATGATTTGAGACCTAAGTATATTGCAGAATAGGTGAATATTGCATTAATTTTGTATAAATGATCACCACATCCGCTGTGAATAAACATTAATTTGTTGATGAGGCATATGACATTACGACAAAGATTGAAAACACTGAACCATGGTCTAACGTTTATATGCGGACCTAGATTATATAAATGACGGCCGAAAGCTGCGGTGTTCAAAAGCTTCAAAAGCTTTTATGCCAAAAGATATTAAAGGTCGATCACCGGTATACGATGACTTGCAAGATGCAATTTTGTCAGCAATAATTCTATCATGAACGTCCATATGACTGGTTCTAGTTGTGGAGAACGATTATAGGGCTAACAAAATCGACTTACTGTCTCAAACAATTAGAAATTTTTTCTGCTTTTGCATTGCTGCAAGACGAATGGCTTCCAGAATTGCAAAGCACTCGGCTGTGCTGTGGTGCTGTTAGGATCGTTTGAAAAATTCCCCCCAATGTTAATGACAGGGAACCAAAAAACTCGGCCAACGACTTCAAATTTGCATCCGTCTGTGGAGACGGGAGAGAAAAGTTTTCCTTTGGCACTAACTGGCAGAAGTTTGATTGCAGGTTGAGAAATGCGGGATTCATAAGGAAAGTCGCGAAACCGAATTTTTTTTCATAATTCAAACGAATCTGTAGAAGTATTGAATAGCTGTCTCTCAAGTGATAATTTAATACCTCAATGGCAAATGTCAAATTTGGCCCTTGAAATATCAAAGGAATTTCCTTCGGAAAAAGCGGTATGGGTGTCAAATGGAAGACATACAACTTGCTATTTGCGATTCCTTATACATGTAAGTTTGCATTCACTGTTCAAGAAAATTAAAACGATTATCAATTATCCTTCTTCAGTTCATATTTACACAATTTTTATTAGCCGTCTTGCTCGATTGTACCCTACGTTTAAAGAAATGAAAGCCGCTGTAAGTATCTGAAATTTAAATCAATTTTTACCCGAATTGCGAAGATATAAGTTCATTTCTTTTGTATACTTACCGTCCGATAACAATCAAGATTTCTTTAATCAGAATCTTAATCGTTCGATAAAAAGTTAACTATGTAGGATGATTAAAAAGTCATCACAAAGAAACACCATAAAGGTACTCTCTTTTAATATCATATAGAAGAGATCTTCACCCGATCGTATATTAATTTTGATGTTAATCGTTAACGTAGCGCATGCTTGAAAAAACTTGTGCCAAGAAGACATAGTTTCTTTCACTTAAGAAAACTATAGGAATGGGAATTCTAATGGCTAAACACTGGATAACTGAAATTGGACTTGCTCGCAAATGTTGAACACATGACGGTTTAGTTTGCCCAAATGAGATTACAACACCCGAAGCAATTCAAAAACTTTCAGATAGTATTTTGGGCAACATAAAGAAAGTAATGAGACGCATTGAAAGGCATGGGTTTGTAAAGACGACTTCAATTGTATAACGAAAGTTTAGTTGCCAAAAAATGTTCTATTTTTTACACAAATAACAACAAGCAGGGCCTTTTATATTTTTATACTACTAACAACAAACTCGGGCCCTTATATTTTTATTGTACTAAACACAAGTCGCGAGACTGCTGTTTGTTAGTCTGCTGACTCAAATGTAATGGACCTAAACACTTCTTAAACACAAAGAGAAACTTAAATGAACTACGACGAAAGAGAATTTTATGGGATATTCGTTTCAGAAGCAGTGAAATATGAATTCTTATTAAAATTTTCCTTCTCCGTATATTAAATACTAATTATTAACAAATGAACTTACTTACAGTCTCGTGAAACTAGAACGGCAAATATTCTTGCTAATATTATTATTCAAAAATTTGTAAGCACTGACTAGGGAATGGATAACGACAAATACAAGAGTTTATCGAGGAGGATAAGTAAGTTTTTCTTATAAGTTTTCTGAAAAAGAATTCTAACTTTTAATAAAACTATCTCTTTACAGGAATAAATTAAATCTACAAATGGACTTTAAATTGAACAAAGAATATATACGAATTTGTGCTGAAGGTATAGAAAATTTATCCTAAACGAACCCGTTACGCCTTCAAAGCAAGCAATTTTACGACATCGGATATGCAGTTATTTTCTTATTATTTGTATCGATTCACCTAAAATAACAGCCCTGTGCTTGTGGTATATCAACTAGAGTTTAGTGTTAATGAAAATCCAACGAAATGGAACGTTAAGTTTAATATTTTTTAATTTTTTAAGGGGCAACTATAGCAGTGTAAAAAACGGGGCTTTTTGACATATCGTTCATCTCAATACCATCCAATTTAGCCCAGAAAGAGCTACGGAGTACATTTAAGCAGGTGACAATCGTCTGAGAACTTTCTGGCGATTATCGCTAAATGCTTTCCCTCAATTACGTCAAACCTGGCGACAATAATATTGATGTCGCTTAGACCAAATTGCACAGATCTCCTATTTAGAACTGAGTTTGGAGCTGCAAAAGGAAAATATAACCTGCTGTTGGAAAATAAATTAATCATTTAAAAACTTAAAAGAATTAAAAGAGAAAATAGAGTGTGTCTGAAATTGCATTTATAAAAGATAAAGAAAAAAAATTAAGCAAAGGCAAGTACAACAACTTCACACCTAGCAACAATTCTGCATAATTTTCTGCTCATTTCATTTGCGTGCGTTTTATTATTTACTATATGTAATTTGTTTATACAAAATAAACGACAATTTGGCTCTCATTCTTTACATTTCTTACAGTTCTTAGTGCACTGCATTTGAGGGAAATTTGAGGGAAAGTATACGAAAGCTGGCGACGATGGTAACTGATTTGTGACTGTTGGCGATAATCAATTGTCTTCTAAAAAACCAGTTACTAATCACGGCGATGGTCGCCTGCACTAGGATGCTTTGATAGTCCAATTGTATACATATATATAACCTACAACATTCGCACAATTCGTAACAGAACGGATCTTCGAAACCTAACATTGGCGTATATGATCACCTTGTAGGGAGAAATAAATTGCAATTTCCAGAGATCTGCTCAGGCGATCAAAGAGTCCTCATAGCTACAATAAATTAACTTCCATGGAAAGAAAGCAAGAATCATCAGGTAAAGTCCACCGCAATTTTACTATGTTACTCAACAGCACGTTTATGATCGAAAGATTTGGCATCCGAGAGTGAGAAAAATGCATACTTTTCGATTGCTACATACCTTCTAGTCGCAACTATCTTGTTTGCTTACTAATGTGTTAGTGAGTGCATTTGAAAGACAGGAAACAATTTAGCACATAAGTGCATAGTTGAATAGGTTTTAAACTTACTTTATTGCTTTTTTCTTTATATATGTGTGTATATGAAGTAATATATATAGATGTATATATATATTTATATAGGTATTTATGTAAAAATATACAAACTTTGCAATTAAGATATTTATTTCGATAACATAACATTCCTTATATGTATGTTAGTTGTGCCTATGAGAATCATGCATGATGTAAGTAACATAAATACTTTTTCTCTGTCGATCGCTTATGGGGCGACGCTTACTTATGATTTAATTTCATATACAAATTTCGTAGAATTTATTCAACATTTTATAATGGACTCAATGCATTTGTTGCGTAGCAGATTTCATTCAAGTTTGTTGTTAAGGTTGAATTTCTGAATTTCAATGAGATGAAGTTTGAATTGAAAGTCTTGTCACACTGCTTACTTTTAAAAGAATAAAGCGTTTTCTCAGTTTGGCAACTTCTTTCTTAATTCTTAAAATAATAATATTCTTATTTATAATAATAATCTTCTAAGTTATTTGCCTTAAATTGGTTGTAAACTTTTTCTTATTTTTTTTTTTAATCATACATTAGTTTCAATAAATACAATATTTTCGGTAAAATAAATCAATGCGAAATTCCACTAATACTGTCGTAATTCTGAATAATAAGGTTTATGTACTTTTTTCTTTTCGTTTTTTATTTTTCATTTCATTATTTGAGAGAAAAACTTACCGCATTCATTTATCTAAAACATAAAAAAAAAAGAAAAATTAATAAATAAATAAATAGTACTCAATTTCGTTATGTGGTGGAAATTGATGCATGTTTTGTATGAATTAGCATTTTCTTCCTATATTACAATGATTACAACGTAGTCGCCAATCGACTACAGGAGAGTTTCAGTGTGTTTGTTTTGTTGTTGTTTTCTTTTCCTTTTTTGTTTGTAATAGAATAGTAAAAAATAAAGTTTGAGAAAAAAGAAATCAATGAACATTGATTTGGTTTATTTTTAATTTTTTATTTAAATACTTATTCTCTTTTCCGTTTTTTTTTTTTTTGGGTTTTTTTTTTTTTTTTTTTTTTTTTTTTTTTTTGTATATATTTCATTTTATTCATATTCATTTATTTTTTCCTTTTATATCTATTAACGTCTAATGCTTAATTAATGGTTTGTGGTATTTTTTTTTTTTTTTAATTTTTTCTTTCACTTTTTCATCGTATATTTAAATTATACATAACTTTTTATTTTAAATATGGTATATAAAAAAATGACTTAAACGTACATGGAGCAAAAAGGAAAAACTATCGGGGGGTTTGTGTATAGATGTTTTTTTTTTGCCATCAAGAAATTTCATACGTTGTAAAAAATATATTTCATACAATTATAGGTTGGCAAGAAAGTAATTTCGGTTTTTTTTTTTTTTTTTTTTATAAAAGAATTTATTTCTTCTATATAAAAAACAAATTCAATGGTAACTGATGATATTTTCATTAGTTCTAAGATTGAACAGAACGTTTCATTTTTATCATAATAAATCATCTTTTTAAACGAAAAAAATATACAAACTGGGAATTTCTTGTATGTAATCTCTGTTATAAAATCAACGCCACAAACTTTTTGAGTCTGACGGGTCATTGCGGAAGTAATTTAAAATTTAAAAAAACTATATAAAGTATTCAAATTGACCCTCAACTATACAGTCACAAACAAGAATGTTTATAACCCTTAAAATAATGATGGCTGGTGACGAAACCAATGTTTAAAAAAATGAAATGATAACACTGACAGAAGAAGTTCTTTAAAAACGTTTATATATGCATACCGAAAATACCTTTTTGTCAACTCAGTAAAAAGTAAACTTTTACAGTTATGTTATATATAAATTCTAACGTAAATTATACAAATTTAAAATGATTTGTTTGTATTTTTTTCGGCTTTTAGTTTTTTTTTTTTTCTTTTTTTTTTTTTAATTAATATTAATTAAGAGGGGTTACTTTTTGACTAAGCGATATTATTATTACGCTTGATCGTCAGAACCTGAACCGTCATCGTTCTCATCGTCGTCATCTATAAAAGATATGATATTACATAATATTTGTATTTAAAAAATGCCTTTATTTTAATAATACAAAAAAAAAAAAACCTACCTTCACATTCTTCTATATCGTCCTCTTCACCTTCATAAGGTATATCGTACTCGTCACTTTCGATATCACTTTCACCTTCATTAACATCATCTTCTAGTATTTCGTCACCATCGGAATCGACATCGACCGCCTTTGTTTCTTTTTTAGCCTTCTTTGACTCTAAATGTTTAGCCTAAAAATGAAATAAAAACAAATTCATTGAACTTTTAGTTATTCTTTTCGTTGAAAATTCAAAAGTTTCCTCTACCCTCGAAGGAATAAATATGTAAACCAATAACCATTGAATTTTTATAAATCAAAACCTAACGACTTTAAAAGTCATGCATGCAAAACAACAAACAACAATAACAATAATAACGGTCGTGAGATATAAAATGGTAATAACAAAGCACAGCTGCTATATATATATATACATATATATATATATAATGTTTTTCTGCCAAACTGTACTGTACTTGCTCTACACTGTTGGTGGATTTTATATTCAATCTTTTATAGTAGACAACAAAAGGCGCAAACGATTACATGCAGACAAGAGCTAGTAAAGTATAGTTAAGCGCCCCCTATTGATATATTTACAAGGGTGAAGACACACATTACTTAAGAACCAGCAGTAAGCCTATCTCCCGTCATTATTATCGAGCGAATCCCTCTACTATGTCCTACTGTACTTACTTTTACCAAGCACATATCAACGATAAACAAGAAAATACAAAGAATAACAATAACAAAAGGTAATAGGAAATATATAGGACGTCACTTAAGAAAAAAATAAATAAAAATAAATAAATAAATAAATAAAAAAAAGCCGGTTATATACTATCTTTACTTCATATAAGCATGCAGCAGCACGGACTAACTCAACGCTCGCCAATCATTCATAAAATGTATATATGTATAAACAAGCAAGCAACATTAACACCGTTTGCTTTGCTATCTTTATTCGACATTCTCTGCATTCTCCTCTTTGTGGTACATTGAACGCGGACTAGTACATGGCATACACGTATGTATAAAGCAAGGTGATTCGTTTTTAAGTAAATAGGTTAAAAAGAGATGGATGTACATATATGTTTATGTTGTATGCATGCATGTATATAATAGTTTTATTTTTGTTTGCTTTTTTCCCGTCAGTTTGTTTCTCGTGCTTTACACACATTCTCTTCAAATGATACAAGTGTTTTTCTCACAATCTCTATGCATGTATTAGTAAATGTAGCCTTGCGTAAGTAAGTTTATATATACTAAGCATATATAAATTAAAATTTTCTCTACGTTTCATTATAAACGCAATTAATTGTGTGCGAAAATAAAAGTAAAAAAATAATAGAAAGAAAAAAAAAAAAACAGATAATCATAGATATAACAACGATTCAAAGGTAGAGAGCTCAAAATGAGTGGCCTCTAACAACACAGTCACAGCAAGTTTGGGACTGTAAATATGAGCGCGAGTTTTTGTTTCTTTCTTTTAAAGAGGGGGAAAAAGAAAGAAAAAAAAAAAACGAGAACCAAGATTAAATAGAAAAAGTATTTTCTAGATTAAAAAAATTCTCTATTAAATATAAATTTAATGCATTATTATCGTAAAATTTAAGAAACGACGAAACGATCGCTGAACCGGCCGGCAGCGTTTTTTTTCACGACATCTATGCCGTACAGCTACCTCTCAAGTATATGTCAACTTGTATTAGAAAAATGCAAAGCGAATAGCAAGCAGCAGCAATTCATTTGTATGTACGCAATGAAAGAGAAGTGGTAAATCGCATCGCAATGAATGAATTTATTAGCACAAACACACACAGAGAATTGTTTGTGCAATTCATCGCACAAATGCTCAAATTGTTTTTGCGTTTGCATGTTTGTAACGGGCCAGTATATCTCACGACATGTAATAAATAAATGTTAAAACAAAACGTGTATATGTGTTTGGGGATTTATGTCATTATTGCACTACATATTACATTTGTAATTGTGTTCCCCCATACGTTAATAATTCTTCTGCGCTGCTTGCTGCTCCCAATACTATTAAACACAAATTATGAATAATAATATATTCGATTACCTATAGATAGTTAGAATGGAATGAATTAAGTTTTTTCAAGCTACATATATACACATAATATGTGCCTATGTTAATGTAATTTTTAAGAAAATTACAAATTTTTTTTGGAAATGCTTGTGAGTAGGTATGAGCGCTACACAACAATAACAAAAATGATAGGAGACAAGAAAGGGATAAAATGCGCGCGCTTAGTGTGCTCATGCGATAAGACCTGTCTCGCCTGTCTCGTCATACCTCCTCTCCCTCTGGCAAACTGAATTTGATTATTCCCCACCATTTCTACCCATTATTTCCTAATTAAAAATGTACTATGTGTATCTGCCAATAATGCACTACAAACAAGCCAGGGTAGAAGTATAGACGAAATTAAGTATTTATTGATTAGGTTGGTTTTCTCCTCCTTCGTGTGTCTCGCTACCTTCTTAGCGAGAATGATTTGGTCCTAAAACCTTAAAAATTCAATGTTTTGCGCCACTAACTACTGTTTAAACTGATACAGGAGGGAAACGTGTTACTTACTTCAGCTGGCCGTTTCGTGCCTTTCACATGTTCTTTAGCGGGAGCGACATCTGTGTCATCTTCCTCATCTGCGGCGTCGGTGTCCTTTGACGCTGTACCGTTGTCGCTTACCACTGCTGCTGATTTGCTGTCTTCTACGGCAGGTTTTGTTTTGAGATCCTCTTTAACTGCGTCGGCTGCTACTTTCTCGACGGTAGCTACGTCGCCGTTGTTTTGTTTTTCCGTGGCTGCAGACATTTTTGACTGTATTTCGTTTATATTTTGTAAATTTATTTTATTAATAAAATTATTAAGTAATCTTTGTAATTTTTCCTTATATAACAACTATATGCTTATAAATATGTAATTTTCTTCACGCGCGTTATGAAGCGTATGTTTTCTTTTTTTATTTTTGTTTTGCAAAAGAAAAAAATTTACAATGCAGCAGCAGATTATTTATTTATTTATTTATTTATTTTTTTGTTAATTATAATTTTCCTATAGAGTAGAAAAGCTCCCTTCTTTCACTAATAACCGTACTCAACGAACGACACAGACACACTGTTTAAGTTGAACGGTTAGCGGTGTGTATTTAAGTTTTAAGATATTTTTTCCAATTTATGGTTGTATATGGGTGTACGGGGTAACGATGAATAAACTACTATTACGACGACGACGATGACGACGACGACGACAACGACACCACACACTTCTTGCCTCTTTATCCCTCTAACGTTTACCGCACAAGCAGGCAGTACTCTATCGCTTATAAATGCTCGTCGCTGCCTCTGTTTCAGTTAGTTGTGCAGCAGTCGAGTGTATTATAAATGTACTCATGAAATGCTATAACGTGTAGTTAGTTGTTTTTGCTTTTCTCCTATAACAATAATGCGACCACTAACGCAGGCGGTAGATTGCTTGAGTATATTCTCAGGCAAAAACACACACAATCTGTTTCAGACAAATGTTTTACTTTAGTTAGAGAATAAATATGCAGTGGATACGATGCATGTGTTTGTGTAAAAATAGCAAAAATTATGTTTAGCTTTCTTAAACTACCACCGAGATGTGTACCCGTTGAACGTTCGCTTTAGACTGAAGGCGTCTTTTTCAATGCATCGGCGATGTTGATGGTAACAAATTGATGGGAATTCTTCTTGAATTAAAGGCTGTTACAAATTTTTGCAATTTATGGATCTACTATTATTTTAATTAAACGTATTATTATATCATTGGAAAGATAAATATCTATATTTAATTTCGATATAAATTTTAATTAAATTTGAATAAGTGAAAATTTAAAAATGCCTCAGCAAGAGGGTTTCTTGAGTAATTCCATACAAATGCTGCTTGGGTTTCATGAGTACAGTTAACAACTACTGTAATCTGTCCAATGGTTGGCGGTAAATTTGAAAATTGTAGTGACGCGCTACATTATGAAAAGGAAGGTGGTTGGTTATATGTTGATTTTTCATACATTTGGACTCATGTCCAGGATAAATAATATGTTTATAAGTAATTTTGTAGATTAAAGCTAGAGCTGGCCGGCTGTTAATTTCAATGGTTGTTTTGTCGATTGGCTTACATCAAGCACGTGGTGGTAATGGCTTAATGCACATATACATATCTTATGTTATTTTTTAAATTGGAATTTTCTAACTTTTTATGTTACAACAAACAAATCTCTAATACAATTTAATCGCTTAATCCTTTTCAATGGCACAAATAAACTCATTGTCTTGTCGAAATGTTTTTATTTGCAAATTTCAACTGAGTTTTCAAAGAAAACATCCTGTACAAAATCAAAAGCTACATGTTCTTCTATTTTTATCGCTATGCCGTTTGGACGTTACGTAGGTGCTTATAAAGTCGGCTCCTATTTAGATTTTATAATATGAGTACTATACACGTATATAGCCGCGCACTGACATTTAACCAAGTCAAAATGTTGGGATGTTCATTATCAAATTTTACTAATCGGAGCAGGGGGACTCTAACACCGCATAAGACTGTAAAGAGCTTTATTTTGATAAGCTGTTGCACTAGTTTGATTTGTAATCATTTTAGCAGGTATAGCAAGACTGTTCGGTGAGTACGAATACGTTTATTGTTACTGCTGTCTGTTTGTATTGATACCTTTGTTCTTACTAAGTGTCGCTAAAATGTACTTTTTACACGGCTTGCTTGTTCGATTCTTACTGGAATTCTCTTAACTATATGCTCACGTCGAAGATATCATACGTATACGTACATTTTGTCATACAGACAACTCTCAGTTTCTACCTATGTGCTTGTGTATAATGATAATTGCTTCGTGTAGAATACCTTTTTTATATTAAATATGTTCACCTAAGAAACTTAGTCATTAACTTTTAAAAACACAAATATTCATGACCATATGTATGTACGCAAATACAGGGGGGTTCTTAGAAGTACAGTAGCTTGAAAATACAATAAAAAGCAGAGTTTCTCAAGTCATTTTGACCCCTTGCGGTCCGAATTATACGGATAGATCCAATACTACGAAGAGCTTTACAGAAATTTATTCTTTTTTTCATTCGATTTAAGCACATTTGTCCGTCTGTCCATCTAATGTTATGATGTGTGCTATATATTTTGGGGGTCCCTCCCGAACAATGTAACGGCATGTTATTTTTGGTATTTTAATCAAAGCGATTTAGAATATTTATTTATCGGCCTTGTACGACTATATACAGTTTTAATTTGTTTTATATATGAAAATTTTCATGAGAATAACTAGTCATATGCTAGATATGTACGCATACATTTCAAATTTCTCTACATTCGATTTCATGTTAAGAGATATAGGAATTTTAATTAATAGAGAAAGATAGACATAGGCATGTCGATTCAAAATACTATAGCCGCGTTGACTCAATAGGCTTTAGAAGGAAAAATGTAATTTTTTTTTTTATGCAATCTCATTTAACTTAGCTACACTGAAATAGCGAATTAAGTGTTAAGATTCAAATGTTTTTGTCAATAACCATTTTCTGAATACACCAGATCTAGCCAGACCTTAATGTAGGCCGACGTCTCCTTGGAATCGCCGTCGCATCAGCGTCAAACTGATTTAAATAGCTTGGTTACTTGGTGCTCGTTATATTTTATGAAATGAAAAGAAAAAAATGCAAGAAGCTTTCTTCCTTAGGAAGGAAGTCATTCAATACTGAGTATTTCATTGATTCACACAAGATGCAAAGCGTTGATTCGTTCATCGATTTCGGGGTATTCGATTCGATAAAAGATCTTTAAGTAAAGCTAGGTCCACGCAGGCTTTCATTAGGACGTGGCCCGAAGAGTTGAAGGATCCTTACATTACAAAAAAGCTATATATGTGTTTAGTTAGACAAATACTTGCATATGCCTATTTTGTGTGGCCTCTGGGAATTCGGGTTGGGACCCGCTTCTCTCTTTACCTCCTTATGAAAATAGGTTGCTTCTGTTACCCTTACCATCACTTGAGAAACGTAGATTTATTCTTGGTGTCTCCTTCCTAATTAAGTTAATTAATCTATCGATTCGTCCATATTAGTTGAGGTGATAACCTTCAATGTCCCTAACCGCTTCTCTGACCACTTTATATTCAGTTTAATGAGTCAATGTAAGTATAATTGTGAGCTGCTTAAACCGTTTAGAGTCGTTTGCAGAAACCCAAATGATGTCTACCACTAATCTTAATATCGGTCTCTTTAAAATCTATCAAAACAATTTTGCTTAATACGCGCTATTTGCCTATGTCGTATTTGAACTAACTTTTAATCTTAACGACTCATTATGATTCGAAAATTAATTGATGTTGATTATTGTAGCGGTTGCCAAGCTTTTTACATGTTTGCGATGGCTTAGGGGTTCACTTGCAATTTGGTTCTGTATTGGTTGTGGGTGTTCTCCAATGCTGGTTGCGCATATGCTTATTATCGTCTTTTTTTCTCCTTCTTATTTATTTAAACATTAATTATTATTTATTATTATTTTCTTTTCTTTTTACTTCTACTTATATACTTTATACTAGTTTTTAATATTAATTAGTATAAGATTTATTCTTAAGAGTCAATTGAATTTGGTTATTAATTTATTTTAGCTGAGTTTCATGTGTAAATAAATAAATAAATAAATAAATACACATTCAATTGCAAACATATTACATACATTAGATTGCAAAACAAGTGGATTCATATCTCTTATAAATACATTTTTTTTAACGGCAAATCACTTCTGCATAGTGCGGATTAATAATAGTTTGCTAGATAATGCTTTAGATACCGATATTTTATTTGTTTCTAGGGGGTTCTTCAGACGCGCGTGCATCTCCAACAATGATTTTTGTAAAAGCCCACTTTATAGTTTTTTTTTTTTTTAAAAACTTTTCTTTTGAAGCAGAAACAATCAAAGTCTCACCTATACTAAAGCAGCCAGCATTTCTTGGCAGAGCAAAGCACATGCATGATTTTAGAGACTATCTGTTGGCCTTTGTTTCTTTCCTTCACTATCAAGTTCACATTTCTTCCATTCGTGAAACAGGACTACAAAATATCGAAAAAAATACAAGCGGTGCTGGTCTAAAGCAGTATAAAGTACGACAACAGAAGTGCAGGCGGTATAGGCTTAAAAACCCACTTTACTATGAAGAACAATATGTTGTCTTTCATATAAGTATTGTATGTATAAAATATCGTCTTTTATCTTTCTCGCTCTTTTTATTACAAAATATTGATATTACGTGCAAGACGTATTGGGAACCTCTGCATCTCAGTAATGCTTAAAAAATTTATATATGTATTCTTATTAAATTTGAAATCCAAGGTATTATAAATAGCTTTATAGAAAATGTGACGTGTATTATAAGTTTGGCAGAAAATAAAGTAGGTTATGTTGTCAGATATATATATTAAATTTTGATCTTCAATTTTCCAAGCGGCACAACAAAAATAAGTCTGCTGCCGATTTTTGCGTGAGTGTAATCGATTGGTTGACCGATAAATTTGACATGGTCGTTAAACCAGAGCCTGTGGGATGTATTAAAATAGTGAAGCGTTACTAAAAGTCGCCTAGTATGACGATAGCTACCTATGTTCGTAAATACGTGTATACTTTTAATTCGCATTGAATTGATTTTTAACATGTAAGATTGCGGTGTTCGGTGGTAAATGCCTTTGACAAATACGTGGTCAAAGTGTGTATTAAATTTTCACTTACTTAAGGAAAAAGGCTTGTCAATATGAAGGATTGCTTGGGCCTAAGTTAGGAGCCCCATTTCCTATCCATAAATCTTTCCTGCAAAGAATTTTCCGGACATTTTAATTTAAGGAATGATATGTTTTTATCGATCTTATGCATTTTGTTAGTATCTATAAGTAAGCATTCATACCTATGATTTTCCGGATGCAGAACCTGCAATAAATTGAAACATCAACTTGAAAATGCTTTGGTTCTTACCCTTAATTTTAGTTAATAGATGTTTTAAATATGCAGAAGCGCTCAGATAAAAATTCATTAAAGACCTCTACGCTTGCTTAAGTGTGTGTATGTGTGCGTGTATACGCGTGTATTAATTTCGTTTATTTACAAAGCACTTACTTCTGCTACACATGTACAGTTGTTCTGCACTATTTATAAAAGAAAAAAACATATAGCGTCAGTCTTAATCCATCAAAAATGGTCATCTAAGATTCTCTCTCAATTGAGTGCAAATTTTCTAACTACCTATGTTCTACTCTTGCCTTTTTAGCTTATTTTTTCGTACAGTTTCAGGCAGAGTATGTTGGCTGATATTTTCTGTTAAAAGAAAAACGGACATTTTCCGTTCAAAAAATGGCCATTTTCTGTTAAAATTTGCAATGCGTTAAAAAACGGCCCATTTTCTCTTAAAACGGTTAGTCTGTTAAAAAACCTTCCAAAAAGTCTGCTAAATTAAAGATGTAAACAAAAGAAATAAGAAGAAGACAAATAAACAAAAAGAAGAAGAGAAAAGTACAGAAGTAAAAAAAGCAGTCTCAATTAAATTTTTGTTTTATTGCATCTCGCGTTTAGTGCGTTGATTGTTGAAATTTTTTTAAACCGTTGAAGAAAGAATAAAATGAAGAATATCAGACATTAACTAAGGCTTGACCTAGACTCCAATAAGTGAAGATTCTAATGTATTAAGCGAATCGATTGCTGGGATTTTCTCTATCAATTTTGAACCGAAATATCAATTTGGGAAACAACAAATACTTACTTCTTCATTATTGTAGGCTTATGTGGATAGCGGCGTGAAAACTTACGTCTCCTTTTTTCTTACTCTTACAAATGCAAACAGCAATAGGAAGTAAAAGCAATGTATTTATAAGCCCATAAACCATTAATGAACAAACCAAGCGACGTTAGCCAAGGAATATTTTATGGTTTGCTTTCGAGAGCAAAGTAATCATCATTTTCATATCGGCTATTTCCTTAAGTTAGCATCTTAAAGTCTCGTGCCAAAAGTCAGCCATAATTAATTCTGTTTGAAGTATTCATTGAATTCAAAAATGTAGAAGGAAAGGAAAGAATTGCTGACAGCCGAAGCAACTAATAGCAATAGTAGCTTGTAAATTGTAAATTAAAGTAGTAATAATAATATTAGTAAGAATCTCATAGTGGGATTGTTAAGTAGCACTAGTAAATTTATAAGAGCAGAGATGGGCGTGTTAAAACGGGCGAATTTTTACAAAACTCATAATGGCATGAGATAGACTCACTTTTTATTATATCAATTTATTGAAGGTTTTCTGTTCATCTAATGTCCGCCTTCATATTTTCGTGTTCCACCTACACGTCTTAATTTTTGGAGATATTTTGATAAAATTTTGTTTTAAACAAAGGACAAGGACTATTAATGACGGATTCAATCGGACGGAATTGCTTCGTAGTTTGACGTATCCCTACAAAAATTGGGGAAAAATAAACATGGATCTATATTGCCTATATTTAGGAAGGGTCAAAGAACTTTTTATTCTTTTCGCATTTCGTTATTAAAAAATAAAGTAAAATAAAAATTAGGCCATTGTTGCCATGTCTCTTCTTCATTCCTCAAGTTCTTACTGGAAATAAGAGTGAACATACTACGTCTTACGATTGGTCAATGGTAAGTTCAAGACCGGTCATCGTTAATATTTTGAAAATCATGGACTATTATTCGGACTATCATAGATCAATAATGTTTACATAAATTCAAAGGCAATTTAATAAATAGCAACCGGTTTCAATAAGGGTAAGTCAGTCTACATAAATAAGGCGATCAGAATTGTTTAATAAAAGTGGGGACACGCTTGAGTGAACAGGCAACAATATTTTCTTTTAAGAGATTCAGCGCTGACTCCAAGTATTCATATTTTATTTTAAAAACAAACCTGACAAGATCTAAATTTCGGGATCATCCTTTAAACTCACTCATTTCCCATTTCCTTGTGATCACAGAAAAAAGGCTAGAAAACCCCAGAAAAAAAAAATATATATATAGAAAGGCCACAACAAAAAGGAAGTAATTTTGTCATCTTAATTATAATAAAATTTCTATTGCTTGCGCTTATCTATGAGAAAATAGACTGCAAGGAGGGCTAACGACAGCTACTTTCCTAATTCATTACCTATTAGATCGAAGTGAACAAGAGGCGGGTCAATAGTCACTGTAAGGTTAGAGCGAGTTCAAAACGAGCAAAACGCGTTTTACATTTGACGTGAAGCTCTTAATTAATAAAATATTTTCTTTTTTCCGATAGCTTGCCAGTCAATTTTATTCCATAGCGCGACGCACGATTAGGTTCTAAACTGACGAAGCCTCAGCGAAAAAACTATGCAAGTGTATAACTCAACTGAAAGTCGTTAATAATCATCATACGTATTTTTCGCACTAAACAAGGCATCCATCGACATTTCGCTTTTTCCATGGACACATAATTTCGCCTCTTCATTAAAGACAATCCATTCTCTTTGTTCGTAGTAACGCAAACTGTGCAGTGCTTTTAATCAAGTACACATTCAAAATAAATCTCTCCCAATACCATACGACTTTTTGAAAATTAAAGGAATTAGATTCACTAAAACTTCATATTTAGCGAGCAGCTTAATCATACAAAGAGCCAAATGATAGAAATGAACGTTTTAAGTGGCAGGTGTAAGAAGATGCGGTCTAATTTTGCAAAAAAAAAGTGTTTGTTGCTGCTTTGTCATATTGCTGCTGATTCATTGATGTACTCACTATTTTAGATTGTCATAATGTGTAGTTTCGCATTTCATAAAATCTCGTCCCATGCCAGCTCTCCTCTCTCTATCTGTACTCTCTAACATACGTGAGATGCCAATAGTTTTCTTTCTATCGGATTTTATTGTTTTTCGTCCCACGCTTCGACATTTTCTATATTCCTTTTCGTCGACGATTTTTTCGTGAAGCTTTTCATCACATTTTTGCAGAGAATTTGAGAAACAAAGTATGAAAAATGTTTTGTTATAGTTCCACTTGGTTTCAAAACTTGTTGTTGTGTTTACACACAATACGTTTAGTGTAATAACATTGAGAAGAATTTTAATAGTAATTTGTAGTTGTTTGCGCGCTCTTCTTTGAATCCGAGTATCGCTGAAATCGTTTTGTTAGTTTACTACAATAAGCGGAAGCGTACAAATTTACATGCGCATGTACGTGTATTTAAAAGCGTTTTTTATAAGACAAAGTTAATCTCATTTGCCGTAAACACATTCATATGTTCATAGCTACAGTTGCTTTAATCTTGTCGAACGAGAAAACTCTTACTAACATTGCCTACAGGTTGATAATCAAAAATTTGATCGCTAATGTTATGTTTTGATCAGTTTTCTGCAAAACGTTTTTACATTTAACATTGTGACGCGTCATTTTCTTATACAAACTTCGTGCATGCGTCGATAGAACTGTACTTCCAAAGCAGCAGTTTTTTCATTATGTTTTCCTGGTATTTATTCTCGTTACTATCATTTTCGGATGGTAAACCCTTAATTGTTATCTACATTAAAAACCTAGAAGTTTCAAAATTCCGAAATTTCATATAGCATTGTTGGCGCATTTTTGATGGTCAACTGTACATAGTAGATTTATCTAAACGTACGCAATATCTAAAGCGTGTATAGAGTTTTGTATTTTTAACGTTTTCGAGTCTCTCGTTTTTTTGCATTTCCTTGCTCTCTCCTCCGTTCTTTTTCTATTTGAATGCACACGGAATTCAAACACGTTTGAAATGAAATGTATGCACAATAGATATTACAATTACTCTGAATAGGCTTTCTCTCTCCTTCTTGTTGTCTATGCAATCGGTGGTTAAAAGAGAATAGAAGAGAGAAAAGAGTGACGCAAAAATGCATGCAACGGAAAAACCATTAGTTGCTTATATATGGAATTAAAATATCGCTTTTCATGTCCAATATACCAAAATGAGAAGAATGAGGTGTCAGATGATCACTTCGTTGAAAATTTTCTTGTACATACACACAAGTTATGACTTTTTTATAATGTAAAAATGCTTAGACATGAATACTTATAAGTATTATTCCTTTCACAACTTAAACGCACATAAGAGATTTTTATTTCTATATTGGTTTTGTTAATAATAATTTTTTTAATTCGTTTTGTTTTAAATAAATGCAAAATAATAAACATCAGTGACTTCATAAAATATAAATATTCTTGATTAGCGTATAACACATACACGCAGGGAAGAAATCGCAACCATGTCGTGAAATTTCTATCACTCTCGCAAACTCTTACTTAAGTTTAGTAAACTTATTCTCCCTTTTTGTTTGCTTTTTAATCTAACGTAAACAAAAATAATAACAGACATATTAAAATAATTTTAAGCTTTTTTTGTTTTGGAGCATTGCCAATATTTGAAAATCGTCCTAATAATTAGAAATATTATTAGCTTTCATTTTCCTCTTTCTTCCATTCTTTCTACTAGCTGTAACTATGTAATGTATGTATGTAAGCTACCGTTGTACTTAAAAAAAGAGCAATACTTGTTTTAAGATAGAGTTTCTTCCCTCTTCTTTTCTCTTAGATTTGTTTTGGATGTCATATTATTAAACGCAGAAAATTATATTTGCAAATACCCTTCCTTTTTAAAAGTGCATTTGGGTTGGCTGGAAAGCAATTTGAATATTTAAATAAATTTACGAGAAAACCGCTTTAGCCGATATAATTTGAATTAATCTTTATATACAGGCGTCTTCGCTTAACATTATTAATTGGTGCCGTGTTATATGAAACTTTTTGAATTTTTTATTTAGATTAAAACATCGTATAGAAGAACATGTAGTCTAAATCGGCTCCTCTTTGAACTGCAATTAGAACGCGCTTGTTCTGCGACACAAAATCCAAGTAAGGTTGGTGTGGATGTCGTACACAAGGTACATATGAATAATAAGAATAAAATTTATTTAAATGTTCGTTAACAAATAACAATTTTTTTTTTCTTGTTGTTTTTAGTACCTAATCGTATCAAATATCGAAATAAATGTGTACTAATGATACAAAGTTATGAAGGGATATCGAAGATCAATAAAATACGGCATAATGCTCAGAAAACCGTAGAAATAGCCGCCGGCTTAAAGAAAGGCCGTGAAGATATAATCGAGAAAGTGAACGATATCAACCGACAAATCGATGAAACCATAAATCAAATAAAGGTATAGCTGTATATATATATAGAAATAAGGAATTTGTCCATGCCATTAATTTGCAATACTTCCTTTATGTAATTAATTAGAAAAATTCAAAAATAACAACAAGAGAAATGATTTTCCTTTTATATAATATTTGTATAAATAATAATTTTCCTTGTATCCCTTTTCGTTTTTTTTTCGATCGATTCATCACATAGATCTCAAAAAACAAACGAGCGCAGTAGCAGGCTTTGGGCAAACAAAAATATGATTTATCCAAATGGGAATATTCAGAATTACGTGATGCAATTAATACATCTTGTGATATTGAATTGTTGGAGGTTAATTTTCACTTCATTGCATTATCTTTAAATAAAAGATAAAAATAAAATATTAGACTTGCCGCCAAGAGTTTCATCGCCGCCTTAAGGTTTATCACGCCTGAAAAGTTAAGAATCGTAAACGTACTACTATGGAAGAGAATAGCTTCTAAAGCACCGCCAACCTAAGCAAGAAATCACTACTGCCCAACATCGTTATTTCCGTATACCTTTTATGCTCGCTAATGCTCCCGAAAACAGCAAGTTAATGTTATCTCGAAAAAAAAAGTTGACGTACCAACTTCTTCTCTTCTTCTTTTTCATAGCTAAACGTGGTTTATGGTACGCTCATTTCGATGGTCAAATTTTATCCGTTCTCTTTTGGTTAAAAATTGGAAACAACTTCATTAAAAGTACTTACAGGTTTCATTCTGTTTCTTCTGCTAAGAATGAAATATTTTTTTTTAGATCTTGAATACAAATTTTACGACCACAAACGGTTTTTCCAATTTTTTCACAAAACTCGTTAAAGCAAACCTATAAAAATGAATATGGATATACAACATAAATAGGTTGAACTCTAGTATGTTCTTGATCACCACCATGCAAGCAAAATTTAAAATTTAGATCAATATCGGAATTTCATAGATAACTTTACGGCTCTCTCTACCCTTTATGTCTTTATACCCGACATGATTTGTTGTGTAGATTGTATTAATTTTGTGCGAATGTATGTATCTTCTATTATGCCGAAAAATGCAGAATAATTATTTGCATTGGTTTCAGCATATTTGTCGGTCTGAGGTCTGTCCATGTAGTGCCTACTGATCCATCCTATCGTCTTCACTTGAAAAAAGATCTTGTATGGAAAAATAGAAAATTTTTAACAGCTTTCAGCAAAAACCAGTAGGAAATAATAGATGCGAAAGCTAAAAATAAAATGCAAGTGAGGAAAAAACAATGTATTAACAGTCGTAAGCGCTATTATTTTTGTCGTAAGCGCTATTATTTTTATTTAACAACAAAAAACAACAAAAAACAAAACAAAAAAAATTGAAACTAAACTAAATACATATTCAAATTTGAAAATTAATTCAATAATTAAAAGTAATTCAAGTCAAGAAACTAAACCATGGGTAATTGTGTCAGCAGGATGAGTTACATATAAGACGAGTTTGATGTTTGAAATTATATATGGTTTGAGACATACACGTAAAAATTGCGTCTAAGCTAACATATAATATACATCGAAAAAATTCTACCATGTTGCATTAACCCCTTTTTCGCTTTTAATTAAAACCATGTTTGATACTTTGAACTAATCTAGACAATGCTTGCATATGGTATAGAAATTAAATCAAAGGCACGAAAGATTCGTTGCATGTTCTTGCATTGATATATTTTAACGTTAAGCTATATATATATGTTGAAATAGTTTCATATACCATAAATTTTAATTACCATTAATTTTTTGAAATTTGCTAAAGCAAATCTTGCGGTTCTTCCACGTTCATTATTTTACGTTTTTTTGATTTGTGTCCAGAATCCCCCTGGTTTTATATGCTTCAACTTAAAGCTGAAGAGAAAAAGCATCTTAAATATAATAAAAACCATGTATCCGATAAGAATAGACGCTTTGTTTCAATTCCATTTGTAGTAACATTGCACATTTGATTCTCAACAATTGGCTTCATTCATAATTACCGGCCTTGATTATTATACAGTCTTTTTGATACCCAAATTTTTTTTATTATTTGAGCTTGCTCTTATATTTTGGATGTGGTATCATACAAAATAATAAAAATGTATAAATTTATATAATGTAAAACTCAAATTTTTAAAATAACTTCGGAATATGGAAAACTCTTCTTTATTTTTTATGCTTCCTATTTCTTTTCTTAATAAAATACGGTTCATGTGGTTTTATTTGTTTATCTACCGAAGAAAGAAATTATTATTTTTTTTTGAAAATAGGGTAAAATGTAATTATCATTTTTTTTTAAAAATAGGGTAAAATCGAATTATCGAAGCCTGGTAGAAGAGTTGCAAAACTGGTCAAGCCCCAAAAATTCTATGTCTACATATTTATTCCAGTTAATATGGAAAGCTAATAAGCGGACAAAGTTTTTATACGGGAAAAAATTGCTAATCATACTTGTTCAAATTTAAAGTCAAGTAAAATAAATTGGGTTTATTTCTTCTTGTGCATTGTTTTCTTTTTGTTTTATTTGTATGAGTTATGCAAAACCATATGATTTGTTAATTCCCATAAAGCTTTGTAAAAAGTCGACACAGTTGAAACTCGAGCACGAAAATGGGAATAACGCCTCATTGTGTCAGCCACTTAGTTGTTTTACTACCTTATACAAGTACTCGAATCTCTACGAAAATATAATTCCCATAATCTAGCAACAACCTCGTCTGCTTTATTGTTCTTTCCTTCTTTTCTATTTTTTCTTTGGGAAAAGAAAATCGTCAAAATGGTATGTGCTTGTAAGTCGAGGTATAAAATTTTAATCGCGACACATCGTGTAATTTACAGAGAACTAGAAAAAGAAAATTGTTATTAGATTACTTACCGAGTAATAAATTTTAATGAACCACTAAAATTTCTTGTTGAAAGTTCCTAAGAGTAAAGTGACGGAAATTTACTAGGAAGATTATTATGTATTTTATATCGCAATATGGATTTTGGAGTGAGATTTATGCTCGTTTTTTGCCTATCTCCTGTAGGTAAACGTGCCGAAACAGCGTCGCACCTTCTGCAAAAAGTGTAAGTGTCACAAGTTGCATAAAGTAACCCAATATAAGAAGTCGAAAGAGCGAAAAAGCGCACAGGGTAGACGTCGTTATGATAGAAAACAACAGGGCTTCGGTGGTCAAACAAAACCCATCTTCCGGAAAAAGGTAAGGCTTAACGCAATGGAAAAGACGATGTAGCACATGAATGTAGAATCAAAATGCTGGGTTATTAAGCTTTTTGGCGGGATAAGGATGTGCAATAGTAAATATTATCAAGTTTTTAAGGCTTCAGTTTAAAGTATTCTTTTTTTAACCTTTATTTACAGCCTAAAAATTTGAACAAATTTCTTAGTTCATTTCTCATTCGTTAATCGAATTTTTTGCTTCCATTTTAGGCTAAAACTACTAAAAAGATTGTCTTGCGTATGGAATGCACAGAATGCAAATACCGCAAACAAACTCCATTAAAGCGTTGTAAACATTTCGAATTGGGTGGCGATAAAAAACGAAAAGGACAAATGATTCAATTCTAAATTTGGTTATAAGACCTCTTTTTTTACCGCTTCTAAACGTAGTTCGTCATGTTAGTTGTAAAAATTGTAATAATTTTTGCGAAAAGGTATAAGAAAAATATAAGTGAACACACAAAATGTTACAAAAAAAGAATGGTTTTTATTAGGAATTCAATATATAAATATGGAAACGATTGAAATTTTAATGTTTTGTGGCTGCATTACTAGCTTATTATGTCTGTGTTTGATGTTATGCTGGTGTTCGGATTGCTGCAAAGTAAGTTAAAGTGAATAGGTCGTTTTCGGGCTTGAGTAATTCCTTTACTTACTCTAATATGTTTGGGTCTAATCCTTCTGCTTGCATTTTTATTTTAACAGCTTGAGTCGGTACTCCTACTTGCACCATTTTAAAGTATTTCTTAAATAGTTCATGATCACATGCCTTGACGCCTTGATGGCCTTGCTCTTTTTCCTCCTCTTCTTTTTCGAAGGGCATTTCTTTGCTAGACGATTCCAATTCATTCTCTAATTTTTCAGTGGCAGGTATTTCGCTACCTTTAAATTCCTCATCCGGTATAGAAGCCAACTAAAACTGAAGTCAGACCGGTGATATTAAGTGAAAGTTATTGTTGCATACCTTTGCTTCTAAAATTATTAAAGCAGCTTCCACTTTTTGTAATTTACGTTCCAATTCAATAAATTTGGTCTCACATTTTACCACAAATTCGTTAAGAAAACTACAAGAACTTATGAGAAAATTGTTTACAAAGGCCAAGATCCGTTTCTGATGTAAAGGGGGCAACTAAAGTGCAAAATAAGAAGGATAATGAAGAAAATGTGAAAATACGCAATTCCAGAATTGTATACAAACTTGAGTTTTATCCACATTTTGTATTAAAATTTCAGAAGCATCCATAAATTCAATTTCTTCGTTTTTTTACAATGGTATTGAAATAAAATTAACCTTTGTTTGTCTGTTTGCGTTTAAATGAAAACAGCTGTTCAAGTGGAAATGTAAAGTTCGCAATATATTGCGGTGTAGCCAACTTTTAGCAGAATATTTTAACAATAGTTGCCTATGCGAGATTCTTCTTGATACTTATAAATATATTCCGTTTTTGCTTTTGTGGTAGTATTTTATTATTAAGTTTATTTTTTTGCAGTTACAGCTTATGTTGTAAAATAATTATTACAAAGATTTGCAAAAAACGTACAAATATCCTAATTGGGATACATTAACTAAGATTCGTCGTAAAAAAAAAGAAAGTTGTGTTTAATAAAAAGATTTATTCGTACGGTCATTTTCTCCAAAAACTTGCGGTTAATTAAAATAAACCAATTTACAAAAACATAGAAAATCGTATGATTAGTCATAAAAATGAAAAATGTTACCTTTGTTTAGCTAAAATTCTACAATGGTCTAAAATTAAAAAGGAATTAGGAGTCTTTGCCGTTCTTCGTAAACGGGAGTGGTCCATCAATTTTTTTCCTTTTTCCGATATTTGCAACATCCATAGAAAGTGTTAACCGGAAATAACGTACATTATAATAATTGCATGCAAGTACGTTAAAATTAATATTTCAGAATTAGCAGTCTGCTAATTAAACGTGTTTTCTTAAAGTAAATTTGGAGCGCAACACCGATCAAATTTACGAAATTAAAAAATGAACTAAATTATCAAATTTTTCGATTTTAATTTCAAATTAATATTTTTTTAAATTTTGTTATGTGCGTTTTTCGTGCAGTGCGTGCTGCCATGATTCGGAGATCCCGCATATCTTCTTGCGAGTTGCCTGATGATCCCGAAGACTTAGATAGCCCCGAAGCTATTGAAGCTGGTTCCTTAACCATAGAAAATGACGAAAGTAAACCTGTACAAAATGGTATATTTCCTTTGATAATTACGTTTCGAATTTATTTTTTATTATATATTTATTTCCAGAGTTGTGGGAACGTTCTCCGTTTTACAATTTATATGCCTTACCTAACGATGGATCGGCGGTATTACGATTTGAAATCTTAACAGCCCGAATGATGCCACCAAATGGTGAAGATTTAAAAGTGAAACGTTATGTCGTTTATGATTTAACGGTACGTTTGGATTCAAAATTCGCAGCGGATTCTCGACCGGCTGTTATAAAAAGACGTTACACAGATTTCCGTGAATTGTATATTAAACTTAGGCGTGATCATCATGTTCTCATGTCTAGGGTAGATTTTCCAAATAAAGTTTTAATGGGTAACTTTTCTGCTACCCTTATAGCTGAACGTGGAGCTTCCTTTGAAGCATTTCTGAATTATATTGTTAATAATGAGACTCTAAAGCAATCTCCAGAATTTTTACACTTTTTGCAAAATAACGAATTAACTAAGGCCTGTCAATTAATGGATGAACGCAACGATAGCTGTGTGCCGATATTGGAAAATAGTTTCCTCTTATTAAATAAAATATTTATGGATCGTTCAAAGCCAGTTTTGTTGCTATTATGTCGTCTTGTTGCTGCTTGTACAAGCTGTACACCAATGCCTCACGAATCTGCAGAAAGATGGGCTGCCTTAGCCTTAAGCCGTTATGAGACTTTAAGCGATATTGATCTACTGCCCTTGTATATACCTTTGCTGAACACATGCGCTCATTTGTGGTGAGTTGTAGTCTCTTTATTTGCAAAATTAATTCTAACGTAGGAAATTATTGCTTAGGTGGCAACAGGGACATGATCAAAAACCTATAACTGATCGCTTAACGGATATGTCCAAAAAAGGCATAAGTATTAACAATGTCCCTAATCTAATCCAGGCTATACATAAATTGGATCCTCGTTCGGAAACTATTTAAGAAACAATTATATATAAAATAGACTTAAGGAATAAAAGTGCAATTTCTAAACGGTATATATATTGACATTTACTATTTGATATCGAATATTTGAACAGATATTGAATGCTTTTTTTACATGAATTTTTTTTTTTAATTTATTATGGAATTATATCTGCATTTTGTTTTGTTTGTTAAGTACATGTACTCAGACGATTTTATTTTTAGAAATATAAAAATAATTTAGAAAAATTAACTATGCGTTTATTATTACATTAAATATTATGGAGTAAAAAATGAATTGGTATTTATGCTGCTTGAATTTAAACCCAAGAAACTAGAAGTATCTCTTTGGGTAGCCACAGCTGCACGTTGGTAACGTGCTATGTGGTCTAAAGAGTGCGGGAGTATAGGACGGACGCTGTGTATTTCTAATAAAGTTAAATTATCCAATTTGGCATATGTTCCCTCACCTTTAATGAAAGCATCAATTGAAGTACGTAACTTTGATTCTCGAATATCGAAAATATCTTTAATTACAGTACGTAGCTCTTCGCAACGTGGCACATCGTCTGGAGCAGTACTCATTATTAATTGCGCTTCAATCATGTAATGTTCACTCGGCATTTTCGTAAAGTACCTACATCACAAGAAAAAAAGAAAATACTTTAGAACCGAATATTTGTGCTTCTTTTGTAAAATTACTTAGATATCTTCTCGGCTTCCTTAATTTCTTCCAACAACTGTATATCCATCCACTCCGGCGGCACAATTCTACATTTCTGATGTTTTCTTAGATGTATGGCTAGCCACAAGGGCACATGAACTGGCATTCCGGCACGAAATGGGCCAACACTACCCGATATTAAATGCAAAGGTTCAAATGAAAAATTTGGTATAACACCTATTAAAGAGTTTTCACCAATAAATTCTATTACACAAGGTTCCATTTTAAATTTTATCTTTAGGGCAGGTCTTGGATCTAAACTTGATTTAAGAAAAACAGACTTTCGTATATGTGCCAAGATTTGCAAAACATGTAAACATTAAATAGTATTTACTTAAGAGTTTTATTAAGTAATTAGCTAAAAACAGCTGTTTATTTCCACGCAATCCACTAAATTTAAATTCACATTTGTAACACAAACCTGTTGAAATGCGGAACGGAATATGATAGCATATTCACGATTGCAGCTTTCCTACTTAGAACCCCTTAATATTCTTAGTTCCCGTTTTTTGCTTTATTATCTAGTTACCGTACAGAAAAATTTATAAATATTTAATTGCGTTACCATTATTCAATAAATTTTATTCAATAGTTTGTATTACAAAAGATAAAACATTATAAAAATGGAGAAGTTATCTTTAACACTGCGACTGCCTTAGCTTCTCGTTGGCTAGAAGTATTGCATTTGGAAATATTAACGCTTTCTACCTTCGACATTCTAAAATCAGCTTCAGAACAGAATATCAATTCAATATATTACTTTATTGAAACTACTAGGCTCAATATCTCATGTACATTTATATAAATTAGAGCCGATAGCCTGTGTTGCTAGTGCTAAATGTCTCTTTTTAGTTTAAGAATTTATTTCATTTATCTAAAATTATAATAATAATAATAATATTTTTAACACTCTGAATAATTAGTTGATCTATTACATAACTCTGCTTTCCTTATTGCTTTACTAGCATGCTATATATTACCTTTCGTCGTCCCACGCCGGACAATTGCCATTTTTTGCCATTCCATTGTTGACGCATACATTTTTTGGGGACTTTGCGGTTTCCCCTTTTGGGAAAGAAAAACAATAATCGATCATAATTAGTCTTTCTTCCATATTTAAAATATTGAAAAAAATTTTCATGTGAATTTCATGTATATCGCATTGGGATATGTTTGAGAACAGGTAGCTCTGTTCGTGCATTCTTTCACATTTGTTGTTGATGTTGTTTAGCAGGAGGTTGTTGAACACGTAAGGGGAGTTTAGTGAAAGACAAATGGAATAAACATACACATATGTTTTTATATGAAAGAAAAAGATAAATAATAACATACGTATGTAAACAAAACAAATAATATACTATAGTGCAGATGTCAGTTGCATTGGTTACTTGTTCAATGAAAGCTCAATTCACCATCTGTCGCATTTCTGACACTATCAACAAGACATTGAGGTCAAAATGGTTTTTGCCGTCCCATATTTTTTTTAGAACTGCTTTCACTATATGGGAATAATCGTACAAAAGCCGGATGCAATGTGTGCTGCCGTCTGCTTGCTTTCTATCGTATACGTTGTTTTCAAATATTCGGATATGCTGTATGTTTGCGCGATTTCGGCCGCAGACGACAGCTCTCACGTCCAGCCCCATCTCTTCAGCCGCTTTGATGTTTTCTTCCAAAACCGGTCCCATTTTTGCTTTACTTGTTGTGCGGGGATAACTGTTCAGCACTACGTTGAAGGGAGTGAGAAGACTACGTGCATTCTGAGTGGTTTTATTAAATTTTTAGAGACCTGGCGTTCGATTTTCGCATATTTTTGAATATTTGGTGTTAATTCTTAAATATATTCGTAAAAGTGGTGATTTGAATAAGTTTGCAATCTTTTATATAATTGTATGAAAAAAGAGGATTTATCTTCCCTTAAACGCATTCTGAATAGTTTTATTAAATTTTTAGAGACCTGGCGTTCGATTTTCGCATATTTTGGAATATTTGGTATTAATTCTTCTCCGCTAGATGTATAGTGTCTTGATCAATATGCTTTTTTGATTTTATTGCACACTTTTTGCGGTTAAATAACCAAACCGTAGCGCAAATGTGTATAAAGCAAGTGCTAAAAGTCTTGTTGATTTATCATGAGCTTTTTTAATATTAACACTCGTTGATTTTCAATTTATAAACAACCATTTGGTTGCGTCTCGGTTTATTTTCAATTTATAAATAAACTATTTGGTTGCGTCTCGTTTCACGCTTAATTTACAAACAACCATTTGGTTTCGTGAAAACTAAGCCTTCACTTATAAACAATATTTGCGCACAACAGAGCTCTAGACAACGTCATGTAATCGCAGACAGCTAATGTAAATCCATTTACACCAGATAGTAAGTTTATCGTCTTTATTGCAGAATTTTAAAATATAAAATAGTAACATAGATTGATTTGCTATTTTCATGCCAGTTCATTTTTGTTCGAAGTTGAGAAGAGAGGAGTGATATAATAGCTTACGTGAAAATAACAAACTGGAATATAAATAGACTACTAAAACGAAGTTGTTAATCCGCTGTACCGTGCAAACACAAAAATTCGAAATCTTTAAAATATCTTTTAGCTTCAAAGCTTCAATGTTACGACATTCGTAACCGTTTCTAAATCAAACCAAAATAAACCTAATTCAGTAAAGGAAAAATAAGAATATTGTGTATAGTAGTAAAACGCTAATGTATTTCTGTTGAGTTTGTTATTTTCACTTCTATGGAATATTTAGTTTTATTGTATAATTAAGTGGGGTTTGCAAGAATCGCTTAAAATTTTTGTAAAAAGTTTATGAAGAATTGTGTTTAGCTTTAAGGAATGTTATGGAGTCTAAAAGTTCTAACGAAGCAGAAGCATCTGTAATAGCAAATAACAAAATTCATTTTAGCAAAGAAGTCAAGCATGTTATCGACAAGGTAAGCGTAAGGCAAGAATTACTTATAAATTGTTTAAATTTCACAAAATCTCCCTTTTTCGTTTTTAGGTTCTTAAATCGGATGACCCCATGGATGCACCCGATTTTAATTGCGTTGATTATATCAATCAATTATTTCCGAATGAGCAATCTTTGGTCACTATAGATGAAACAATACAACGTATGCAGTGTGAAGTGTCTTTGATTGATGATAATATCCGTTCAGTGGTTAGGGGACAAACAAATACTGGTCAAGATGGCCAACTAGCTTTGTGTGAAGCGCAAAAAGTTATTAGCACTTTGTACGAGCACATTATTGACGTTAAAACGCGTGCTGAACGTACCGAAGAAATGGTGAAAGAAATTACAAGGGACATTAAACAATTAGACTGCGCTAAAAGAAATCTTACCTCAGCTATAACTACTTTAAATCACTTACATATGTTGGTAGGTGGTATAGAGAGTTTGGAAATTCTAATTGAAAAGCGTTTGTATGGGGAAATTTTAAATCCTTTGCAAGCGATCACAGAAGTGAATCAGCATTTTCAACAGTATTCTGACATCGAGGAGATTAAGAATTTATCACAAAGTGTCGATAAGATACAAATAAGTTTGGCTCACCAGATAACTGAGGATTTTAAGGAAGCCTTCTCAGTAAAAAAAAGTAACAACCATCCGCGTTTGGGTTTTAATCAGTTGGGCGACGCCTGTAAAGTAATTTCTGTCTTAGATCCTAAAGTTAAAAAAGACTTGTTAAAGTGGTTCATCGCTCAGCAGTTAGAGGAATACATACATTTGTTTCATGAGAATCAAGACATAGCCTGGCTAGATAAAATTGATAAACGTTACGCTTGGTTAAAAAGACATTTATTAGATTTCGAAGATAAGTTTGGTGCTGTTTTCCCTTTAGATTGGGAAGTTTCTGAACGAATAACAGTTGAATTTTGTCGCCTAACTCGTGAGCAATTATCGCAAATCATGAGCAAACGAGTAAATGAAATAGACGTGCGTCTGTTATTGTTTGCAATTAATAAGACGCAGGCTTTTGAGCAATTGCTTTCAAAGAGATTCACAGGTGTGACTCTGGGCATCAATAATGACAATCAGAACACATCTTCCTTTACGTCAGGTGATGGGCAATTAATAAATTCGGCTTTTTTGGTTTTTCATGATCAAATAGGAAGTTGTTTTAAAACTCATTTAGACATTTATATACGCAGTATTGACCGCAATTTGGCTGAGTTAATAGAGAAGTTCGTCGAACAGGCTAAAGAGCCATTTAAAGCGGCAGAAGCTAAAAGTACAGTGTACCCGAGGTAGGAGAGGGGTTTTATTATACGCCTTAACCACGATTTTTAAATTAGTTAATTTTTTTGGATTTTACAGTTCAGCCGATTTATTTGTTTTTTATAAAAAGTGTATGGTTCAGTGTAATCAATTAAGTAACGAACAGCCCATGTACGAATTGGCTCTCGTATTTAAAAAATATTTACGGGAATACGCCAGCAAGGTACTGGAGTTTAGCATACCGAAGCTACTAACTACATCAACATCCATCGGTAAGTTATTTTTTACTTATAATTATTTTTATACCCCATACGAAAGAATGTGGTTTATGTTAATTTTTTCAAAATCCCGAAAGCTGCTTCATAGACTTCATAAAGCATATATATTATTAATCAGTATAACGTGTTGAATGGATTTAAGTGTTTCTGGCTGTTGGCCTCTCTGTCTGTCTGTGTAATGTCTGCGGCGAACATTCTTGCTAAACCGGTCAAAAGCGTACACTTGCAGTACATGAAAATATAAGGCGAGAATAACTTGTTATTCAACAAACATTTGCATATTCTATTGTAAGACAAGGCTGGTGAATATAAAAAATTCGGCTATAGACGGATGCATTTTTCCTGATTGTTTATTTTTATCATCTGCTTGTATATTAATTTGTTTTATTATTTATGTCCATTTGGCTTCACGTTTATTCTCCGTGCCGTATGCGCTACATGGAGTATTTGAATGAATTGCTTCGATTCCTTGTTTTACCTTTCATTCGTTATAATCCATTATGCTTAATTGATTTCTTATTTCATTTCATTGCTTCATATTGATTCATATTTGGTGTATGGGATAACACTTTATTTATATCTTAAAAATGCAAGAAAAAATCGTTTGAAAAATGATACCTTTTGCTAGGCAAAAGCATGTCTTTGCTAACTCGAGATATGCAAAATCTTTCCACTGCTGCAGGCCAAGTAATACACAACTTTCTAAAAGAAGGTGATGCCCAAAGATTTTCTAAAGGTGATCTAATTCGTATATGTTGTGTCCTTACTACTGCTGAGTACTGTTTAGAAACAGTACAGCAATTGGAAGATAAGCTTAAGGAAAAAGTTGCCGCCGCTTATGTTAATAAAATCGATATGTCCGAGGAGAAAGATGTCTTTCATCGGTAAGCGTTATTTCGAAATTTGCATAAAAATGTTTGTAAAGATTCCCTTTGTGCAATATGTGTTATGTCTATTCACAGAATTATTTCTAACTGTATACAACTTTTGGTCCAAGATCTGGAAACGGGTTGCGAAAGCTTTTTACAGGCCATGTCGAAAGTTCAATGGCAAAGTATTAGCAATGTCGGCGATCAGAGTTCTTTTATAACCGGTATGTGTGCAAACTTTAAGCAGACTGTGCCCGTAATACGCGATAATTTGGCGTCGTCCCGGAAATATTTTACTCAATTTTGTCATAAATTTGTTAATGTTTTTATACCAAAATACATTAACGTTTTATACAAATGTAAATTAACTTTGTCCGATGGCTGTAATAACGTTTTGGGCTGCGAGCAGCTATTGCTTGATACGCATAGTTTGAAAACGGCACTATTGGATTTGCCAAGTATTGGCTCAAGCGTAAATCGAAAAGCTCCGACTTCCTATACTAAAGTGGTTGTTAAGGATATGACACGAGCAGAAATGATTATCAAGGTTGTTATGACACCGGTTCAACCGTCTGCTCATTTTACACAGCAGGTCTTGAAATTATTGCCTGATATCACCATAGCCGAATATCAGAAAATTTTAGACATGAAAGCAGTTAAACGAGTAGATCAGTTGCAACTAATAGATCTATTCAAACGTACTGCCTCGACAGCCGCTGCGGCTGGGTTGAGCGATAACACTGATTCGATATCTACGGATGCTGACCAGCAAAATTCTACGGCAAATGCGCTAGACTCTACCAACGATAACATTAATATTATGGCTGATGCAACGAGCACTGAAATTTCTACCTATCAAACGAACCTAGCGGTCAATGCTACGTCTACACCTAAGCGAGCTTTTATCTTTAGTGTTGGCAATTTTACTGGTGCTAATAGCAGTGCAGGGGATAAAAATGCCGATAACTCCTCTCAATCTAGTGGCGACCGAGGACGTATACGCAAATTGGAAAATCTCTTGAAAAAACGATTACCTTAAATACTCGGTTCGCTTTTGTTTTGCTTTGCAAGAAAAAATCCCAAATGGGGAAATATAAAACATTCCATAAAAAAACAATGATGTGACTTAAATATAAGAAATATTGATTGTCTGTGGATGAGAAGAATGGTATTTGCGTAATAATAGACTTAATTTTATGATAAAAAATGGCATTTTTGTTGTTGGGAGCTGAAGAGTGTATTATTTGGAATTTCAATAAATCCGTAACCTACGCGTAATTATTCCATGCTCAGTTTTCCGAATAAAGGTAGCGGGGAGGTAAGATAATGTGTTACGTATCAGGGAATGGGACGGATGGGTTCAGTCGATTTGTTTTTGTACATGAGCCGATTTCAGATGATTTATGGATTGGTAGGAACTGTGACGTGGCTCAATTCAATTTTACCATAAACAAGTTTGTTGCTATGCTGTCGCAAGTTCTTTTTTTCTTTCTATTATTTATGATATTTTTACTCTGAGAATATAGGAGCCAAGCAAAGTGTTACTTCCAGCACATGACTTTTACCGCCGAGCCATTAATGTCAAAAGATCCTTTATTTGTGAGCAAGATTCACTTTGTATAACTGATTATATTTGCAAATTTTTGCTTTTACCAGGAAACAAAACTGCGACTAATTTGTTAAATCTCTCCCAAAATGCTGTAAATATTGTATGAATCTTAATCCCCGGAAATTTGCTTTGAAAGCTAACCATACCCAGTTCATGCAGTTTTAAGACATTGTTTACTCTAGTAGCATACAAATAAAATAAACAAGTCAGTGGCTTTCTTCTCATACGTGCTTATCATAGCATATTACGATAAGTCACTTAAGTTCAAAGAATGGGAAAAGGTAAAACCACTATAGTGGGGGACGGCTCTCCTTATACCACTCTTTAATTATCCATACAACAATAAGTTATAAGTAAGTGATAAGGCGTTATTTGGGTAAGGATCGAAAGACTGGTTTTATATGAACCATCTTCAATATAAAAAGATAAATAAATGTAACTTTTCTAATTATACCAATATTAGCCATATTCTTAGGTGTTCTTTCTCTTATCAAAAATGAAACTCCTTTAGATTTTTCAAAATGAAATTTACTTTATATCAAAATTCATATTTTACTTAGATAATTATGTGGATTAGTTGAATAATTCTTATTTTAATTTTTTTACGATGTCAACTCTCGATGCGACGCATAAGATAAGTTATAAAAGAGATTTTCCGAGAAAAGAGAAAAAAATCTAATATAAACTAAAGTTTTTCTAGACTATGACTATTGTATTCACTTATATAAATATATGCAAGTTAAGTAATATTACAAGAAAAAACAAAAATTGAATAATATTAAAAATGTTTTTGAAGGCCAAATTTTTATTTTCGAATTTTTTTCCTTAAAAGCCTAAAAATATGAGTTATTAATTTCATTTATTTTAAAAATTGGAAAAAAGAATCAACTTGAAAGAAAACAAAAGACTTAAGGCACAAACCTAATAATGTTTGTGCGTAAGCAAAAAAAAAAACAAGAAAAAAAAAATTGGGACATAATTCTTTCTTTTATAATTTCATTAACTTTGGTTTAATTCCAGCATTTCATTCAAACCGCGTAGAGTTTAAAATTATTTAGATTTTCATTTAATCTTAATTAAAACTATCCATTTAAACTAACAATTAAAATACGTATAAAATTGCTTAGGTAATACAAAGATAGAAACTAAATTATATGACTACAATGTGTGTGAGTGTTGTTAACATTTTTCTTTTTTCCTCATCTTATACAAAAAAAAAAAAAAAAAAAAAGAAGGGAGCTTTCGCCTGAAAAGTAACATTCGAGGTTACTTCAGAGAAGCACCTAATGATATTGGTGTCTAACTTGACAATCCATGACAATCTGCACTCGATAATTCTAAACTATATACAAAGTATTTCTTAAAATAAAATAAAAAAAAGAAAATAAGAACAATATTCACTCTCTTCAACTTAAATACACAGTATTTATAAAAATAGAGCTCAAATGCTAAACGTAGAAAATTCATATTTATATTGAATATATTTTTCTAAGAAAATAATTAAAAAGATACATTAAACTGCAACAATTTTGCTGGGATCGACTTTGACCCTCAAGAAGACAGTATCGTCCTTGATAAAGGGACGTCTATGGAGCATTTCGTGGGATATAAAACGAGGGAAGCCGAAACCCAGTTGATCTGGTTCGTTTGAAGGACGTTGAAAATTCTCCCAGGTCGGATCGGGTACGAAAGATTCGGCTACACCGCCCTGGCCTGTTTGGCAGCCCTGTTCGAAAAGGGTGAACGTAATGGAGTGAGAAAAAGGCCATTTCAGCAAAGCATCATATTCTCCAGGTAAGACCTTTATATACACGGAGACGTGGGTACTTTCTCCGGGTCCATTGCCGTTTAAAAACATTGAAGCCTGCAATTTGTAACCGTATTGAGAGGTATAAAACGGAGGGGATACTAATTCAAGGCCATCTTTGCCCTTAGCTTCTGACATTTTAACCGACCAATCAGTTATTTTCCACAATAAAGTTCCCGTGTAATTAATGGATAATTTCGATACAGCACTCTTTAGCATTTGTATTTGTTGCCCTTGTCTGGCTGACAAGGCCACCATTAGTGACAAATGTGCTGCCGCATTGGCCTCCAAATGAGATTCCAAGAGTTGTCGCGGTCCTTTGAAACGACAACCGGCTTCTTTAAAGGTACAAGCCACAGCCAACGATTTGCATTCGTCTCGTAAATGAGCATCCATATCGGCCCGTGGTATCGGCCCTATGTCGCAACGTTGTGGACACACTATGGTAACTCGAGGGCATTGATTGACATGTAAAGCCAATGTGTCCGCCGAAAATTCACGATTGCAATGCAAGCAACGTCTTAGTCTTTTAGCGCAATCCTTGGATTTATGCACAGTCATGCGTCCGCGTAGAACTCGTTGTCCGCACTTGGCCTCGCAGTATATCGGCTCCTGACCACAAGTTCCATTGTGTTCTTCTAGTCCAGCTCCAGAAAACTCACTTTGACAAAATTCACACTTTGTGCGACGCATAGTGCAAGTGTACTGCAAATGATCAGTCATCATGATGCGAGGAATTTGTGCACCGCATTTATTAGGGCACTGTGTTGCGTCATACTTACAAACGTTCAAATGGCCCTGAAAGTAGTGTAAGGAAACAGAAAGTTTTCAATAGGATAAGAAGCTAATCAAAAGATTTTCAAATCGTATAACATTTTAAGAAGCAATTCAACCCTTTCAGAATGTCGACTTTGAATACTTTCAAAATGAAAGCTTGTCAATCAAGCCTATGAAATCCGATTTCGTAGATTTTACGTGAGTGCACAAGTTCTTGGCTTTTTCCACCCATATTCCTTGCATTTCTTGCATTTTACTATATACAGACATTTATATGACCCTATTAAGCCAAATATTTATCGGTCCGCTCGATAACTGTTTATCATTTTTCTGGTCAAACTGGTCACCGAAGAACTTCTGAAGACTTATTTTCAATTGAGGCGGAAGAAAGTTCTACATAGAGTTCTATGCCGCTTTGTCATCGCGTTGATTGACAGTAAAGAGCGACTGGACTGGTGAGGTCACGTTTTGATACATAATTCCCTTGCCTTTAATCCTGTCAAATACAATGCATAGTTTCACGTGGCTGTCTTGCACAGCCGTTCGCGCATTATTGTCCTACGTAAAAAGCGGAGATTCGCAGACGAAAATTCTACCCAATAGGTTTTTCAGGTGGCATCCAAATACCGGGCTTATTCTTGTATCCAGCCGTTAGCAAATGATTAACAATTCGTTTTCGGTCAATGTTTGATGCCGCAGAGACGTTAGCAAATGAAATGCGTCGGAAGAATTTTATCAATTTTATCAAAGATTGATCCAAGACAGTGTAGCCCGTTTTTACCTACGAAATATGTGCTGGTTGTGGTAAAAAGTCTTTATCATTAACACTAACAACCTGCTCATAAGTTTCCCAAGGATTATTTTATTCTTTATCACTAACACTAACAGCTTACCCACAAGTTTCCCAAGGATTATTTTATTCTTTATCACTAACACTAACAACTTACTCACAAGTTTCCCAACGATTAACATTAAGAAAGTTGGGTCATTTTCAAAACGCATTCCATATTTTTCTTCTTCTTAGAAGCTATTCAGCGAGTCAACACAGCACTTATTTTGAACTTAACCAACAAAGTTCATAACTATTGTTTTTAATTATTGTGTCGACGGCAACTTTTCACAGGTGCTTTAGCATAACTTGACAGTGGCTGGGTTATTAAAACCACACGTTTCTAAAAGCATCTCGATTGAGAAAAAATTCGTAAAAATTTTGCAATTACCTAATATCTAGTCGGCTTTATTTTTCGATCATTGAGTGCCTATGTTCACTTGGCGTTATACAGTTATTCATATCGTTTTATAATTTTTCATTTAACGAAAGTGCGACTTAAATGAAGACGAAGGAAAAGGACGTATAGACGAGCAGACAAACTAAAATCGATTCAGAAAGTTGTTCTTAATAAAAGCGGACACTATCTCAAGCCCCTCTAGGTGCTTATATACATCGTCAAAAACTTATATATATATTTTGAACCACAAACGGTCTAGGGTATGCAAAGACTGTCCACTTACTTTTAGTTTTCGTAATTCATCCGACCAAGCGCAGCCTTGCTTGTGATGAATACAAAATACTAATGAACCCATAATCGCTTGCTTCGGATCTGGACCTGGATAGATCTAAAAAGGAAAGAGAGAAAGAAGAGTTTAAATGCAATTTTGATTCAAAATTTTCAACTTTATATTTATTTCACATATATTTCATATTACGTTACGGCGTATGATATGAATTGGGTTTGTCTGCCCTTTTTTATAATATAAACGATTCCGGTATGAGAGCCAGAACAGAGTAATCAGATGAGTCTCTGCAATTTTTCGTTAAATTCAAATTTAAATTCCAGTTAAATAACAAAAATGGCACATGAGTCCACTTCATCTAACACAGACGAGTAAATAGATGAACGTCTGGCACCTTGCTCACGAAACGAAGGTAAGGAAAAAATACCTCCCCCCTATATTCTTTATTTATTTTATAATTTGCTTGGGTCCATTTAGACTCCGATCGATTTAACTTTATCTCGATTTGCTTATAAAACAAAGCAATTTGCTAAAATATATTCCTCTTAATAATATTCATGCTTTCTTTAACTATAAAAAAAAGCATAATTGTAGAAAAATTTTAAATGAATACAAAAACGAATGATTTGCTGGAAGAGTGTAGGCGCGTTTATCGCCGGAAATGATTTTGTAATCAATTAGTACACGCCTAACGGTTAATGACATTAAAAGACTTTCACAATACTAAAGAAGTTGATATTTTTTCAATTCTATTTTTTTTTTTTTTTGCTTTTTATGGACATTTTTTTTCTTTTTCTTTATACCCATCACCGAAGGATGAGGGGTATGTTCGTTTCGTCAGAACGTTTGCAACGCTTAGAAGGAACCATTGGTGAGTCCACAAAGTATATATATATTCTTAATCATAATCAGATACTAAATCGATTTAAGGATGTCCGTCTGTCCATCTGTTCTAAACGTTCTCATGACCGCAAAAATGAAGCTAAAGTCTTCAAATTTGACAGAAACAGTGAAAGTTCATGCACGCAGGTTGGAATTAAAAATGGGCAAAATCGGTCGAAGGATACGTCCATAACAACACGCAAACTGAGAACACCTCTATTTTCCAAAGGGAATGAAAAATTGTGTTTTTTGCTCATTTTGCTCATAAATTATAGCAAATAACTGTACAAAAATTTCAACTCATATTTGGGTACAAAAAAAAGTGGAAAAAATTGAACACGCCTTTCCAATATTATATAAAAATTCTTGGCCAGTTTCAAATTTGGAATACACTTAAACATGTCCGCCTGTTCGTCTGTCCATCTGTCCGTTTACGTAACTTTATAGTATTTTTGGTAAACATTCTCTCGTTAGCGAAAATGAAAAGAATTCGGAATTGACCTAAACTTTTCCAAGGACACGCCTACAACATCCACATGCCACTGCCACTTTTATTTGAACTTAGAAGAAATCAACTGCTCCGACTCTACATTATAGAGCGTGAGAATTTTGTTGTTTCACTTCTTTTCTCTCTTTTTGGGATAGACCGTGTAGAGTGTAAAAGATTCGGTCCCGACCGAATTTATTTTTCTTACTTGTTTTTTTTTACTCTTAACCATTATTTAAAATGGGGGGAGACATTGTGTATGTAATAATATATTACTTACTGCTGTAACAAAGATAAATATTTTCTTATCTTTTCACTAGACTAACACAAAAGACTTAATTACTAGCGGTTGGCTGATGGGGTTTGTTTGGTTACTTTGGCAGGCTGTTGAAACCAGCCTTTGATTGTTATTCTCATCTGTTCAACTCGCAGTCAAATGCTTTATGCATTACATGCATTTCTTGTTTTTGTTCAGCTTCACATCCGGTTTGATTAAAAAAAATTATTGCAATTTGTTTTTTTTCCTTTATGCTTCTGCCCAGCGACCCTTCGACATAAAATAACATTTATCTACGCTGAACGCTGAGCGCTGAGCGCTAAACTAAGCTTTAACGTTCTGGTAGACTGTTTGTTGTGCGTGTACTGATAATGTTTCCTTTATTTATTCATCATTTTTATTATTATTATTATTATTATTTTTTTGTTGTTGACATCTTTATTAATCATTAACTAGTTCTTGAGCTTTGTTTTCTTCCATTTTTCCTAAAAAAAAAAAGAAAGCAAATTTCTCAGGAAGCGGGAGTTCATTAAACAAAAGTGTCACATCACACTTGATTTTTGGACTCAACATATAATCAACAGCAAGAATAACGACAACTAAGTAATTGACGGCGTCTGAGTTATATAAAAATTCACTGCCGAGACCTTTAAGACCTTTGTGTTAAGTACCAAAATTCATCTTAATGTAGAGAAGATGGTGGAAATCTTCTGTTGAAGAGCTTTTCGCTGATTTGATTTTCGCCAGTTACTGTATACAAGACTTATCTAATGATGCTCGCTTTTGGCCTATGCCCGGGTATTATATATGTGTGGGAATACTAGTAGGCGTTGGTACGATAAGATGATAGCCACGGCAGAGGGGAGGTTGCATTCAAAGCAGGGTAATGGAGGCGAGCGCAATAGTTCTAATGGGAGAAATGCAAATCCTGCTGCCATCGATGCGGCTTTACAATCAGCACCTAATGAATATAGACTGATGGCATTGATGATTGATGAATAATCGCAAATAAAATTCTTACGAAAGAAGATTTTAGTTAATTAATTACCGACCGATAAAATCGTCGATTATATTTTTCTTTGTTATATATAGATATTTTGGATCTTTTTTATCGCAGGGTTTATTATGCAACACATATTACCTGATAAATTATGCTGACCAAATGTACATGGTGTTGAGTCTTATGTCACCCCTTTCTTTACTTGTACTTGTACTTGTTTGCACAACTTCTTTATTATTCGAAAAAGTAGATGCATGAAGAAAGACTTTTGCATGATGAAGGAAAACTCAATACATCAAATGTCATTTGCAAAAGAATATGAATTCAAAAGGAGGTGTGGAGCAATAGTGCTACCTGGTACAATAAATTTCACAATGTGTGCAATCACATATAGGTTGACACAATATATATATATATATATATATATGTTTTTTATACAAATGAGTTAATTCATTTGTGCGCTTGAAACAAAAAAAGGGAATTTCTTAAAAACGTTAACAAAAAAAAATATGTGCTTCGAGTTTTTAAGGCATATATAGATTTTGTATACGATTGCTAACGTTTCTGCTGTTGTCACTATCTGAATATAAACCTTTGGACGCCGGATTGCAGACACAAGTACGTTACGTAGAAAAGCCTTTGGCTTAGTCGTTGGGAAAAGAAATTTGTTAATATCGTTGATATGGATGGTATGTCCATAACATGAAAAAACGTTCCAGAATTGGTCTTTAGAAGTCTTTATATTGATTCATAAGGTTCATCAAGAAGATTTTTAGCAAACGTAGAATTAGTCGTTCGCGTAAGTAAACGTAAAAGAAGGTGTCTCAAAAGTGCAATGGAGACGTTTGCCGCAACATGTAATGGAAAGAGGGTTTGATTTGAGCTAATGTTCGCCTCATAAGCGCAGCGATCTCTTAACAGATATCTTCACTAAATAATTCCCCAAACACACTGCGTGTTCCTTTCTTTTTCTGGAAAACAATTATTTATGCGGAAAAAGTGTCGCAAAAACATTCCGCGTAAGCGCTTGCGGTAATTTACATAAACTTCTTTAGCGTGATTTTCTCTTTTGGCGAAAAATTCAAATAGGCGATTACCAGACGTAGCAATCAATGGCCTAGGGTTGGCCGGCGATGATTTTGAACTCGCGACTATTAAATTGTAATGCCGTCCTCTTCTTCAGTTCGCAACGCATAAAGTATATGCAAAGTAATTCTGTCTCGGATAAATGCAGCAAAACGACCTTTTACGGGCATAGCACATGCGGAGAAAGAGAACAAAGGGATGTTTAATGATCCTCGAATTGGGAAGAGCAAGCATAGAAATTTATTACAATGAAAAGACTGTCTACAGCAACTAACAAAACTTTAAATGCAATTTTCTCCTTTAAACCCCGAAGCGTATAACTCTAATTTTTTCTTTAATTTTTTTTATAAGATTTTTTTCCATCACGTTTAATTTGACAGTCTAAAGACAAATGCGTGAAACATGTTCGATGCATTCATTAATTAAAAGGCTTGTTTTTTTATTGATAAAAGATTTCCCTTTGTTTGATTGTACATTTAAAATATTTTGCTTATACCTCAGGCCATAGGAGTATGTAAATTAAATGATTATTGCTTTTTTTTTTTTTTTTTTTTTTAATTCAACCTTGCGACAGTTACTCTCTCCTTGAAGGTGTCTCGTGAGAGTCACTCCGACGTTGCCATTTTTTAATATTCTTTCAAATATAATTCTTTTTTCTTCATACATGAAGATATGATGTTTTTTTTTTTGGTTTGTTGCGACTAAATGGACAAGAGCGATATAGACGTCCACCCAAAAAAAATTCAGCAACACTCTTAAAGGAAACAAAGTTGTCCTTGCTGTCCAGCTCATAAACCAATATACATATAGAATATAGTACAATATAGTACAGAGTAATTCAGTAAAACTGGATCAATTGTTTTGAATTTGTTTTATGGGGTTCGGTGCAGTCAAAGGTCTGTGCACAACAAATTCACAATTTCTCGCATTGCATTGAAGGAGGACGCACTGCATTAACGAAATTCAGCCACATGTATGCGAAATGGTTATGGAAAACTTTGATAAACCAGTGTGCCACACATAATCCTGTGCTATGTGCATTATTATGATTCAATAAGAAAAATTTACAATTAAGAAAAAGATTTCGATTTTTCTATTTATTTGCAAATTTTCAAATACTACCTTTTCTCACATACACTTAGTAACCGCTTTGAAAATAGTCATTCCATTGCTTTTCCTTTCATTCAGAAATAAAAACTTTGTCAAAAAGGTATCCTTGTTAAGGCTTATCGATCTCAAAAGCGCAGAAATGTATTAATTATCTGAAAAAAATGTTATGAAAAAAGACTTAACTGGTTCTTTATAAATTTTTTTTTTTTTTGCGCTTTGAAAGATTAAAGAGCTAATAATGCGCGCTTTTAGAAAGTCAT